TAAGAAAGAATGGTGAAGGACGACCTGTTTGCATTGTTTTGTGACCATAATGAGAAAGTTAAGCTTTTTACTATTATGTCGTTAACTATAAGGTGTTTATAGGTATTCGTCATTGAGTATCAAGAATGAATTAAGAATAGAGGAAAGTTTCCTCTGTTACTACTTCACTGAATTTTCTTTTTATAATGAAAGGGTGCCAAATTATATCAGGTGCTTTTTCTGTGTATATCGATAGGGTTTTTCTGTATATTCTTGTTCAGCCTGTTGATTTGATAGTTTGCATTAATTGGATGTTGTGCCATCTTTGCAAACCTGGGATAAAACTCACTTAGATAAGGAGTATAATTAATGTTTTTACATTGTCATACTGGATTTGCTACTATTGAAGATTTTGTATCTATGCTTGTGAGAAGTACTAGTTTGTTGTATCTTTATCTGGTTTTCTATTACAAGAGTGCTGGTTTCATGGACTGAGTTAGGAAGTACATATTCCCTCTGATTCCATCTTTAGGAAGACAGTGTAAAGATGTGGTATACTTATTGTCCTTAAATGTTTGGTAGAATTTTACCAGTGACTCATTTGGACCTGGTGCATTTGTTTTGGAAAGTTATTAATTATTGACTTGGTTTTCTTTTCTAGATGTGGGCCTGTTCATAATTGTTCTTGTGCGAATTTTGGCAGATGACAACTTTCAAAAAATTGGTCCATGTCCGTTAGATCTTTAGCGAGTCTCCATCTTTCATTTCTGCAATTAGTACTTTGTATTTTCTCTCTTTTTTCATAGCTAGAACATTGTAGATTTTTTGGACCTTTTTAGTGAGCTAGCTTTGGTTTTATGGATTCTGTCTTACTGATTTTCTGTTCTCAGTTTTACTGACTTCCTCTCTTAATTTTTGTTTGCTTTCCTCTGCTTGCTGTGATGTGCTCTTTTTCTAGTTTCCTAAGGTGAAAGCTTAGATGATTGATTTTATATCTTTTCTAATGTGCATATTTAATGCTACAGATTTGTCTGTAAGTTCTGTCTTTGTTGCTTTATAAATTTTGATATATTTTATTTTCATTTACTTGAAAATCAATTTTTCTTGAGATTTTTTTAATCAAATCAATTTTTAAGAATTTTTTTAAATCTCCCAACTATTTTTTTTTCTTTTAGCTGTTATTGATTTGTACTTCTGTTGTAGTTTTTCTATTCCTTTAAATTTGAATATGGTTTGAGTATTGCTCAGAGGTTCATGTGCTGGAAATTCAATCTTCTGTATGGCAGTACTGGGAGATGACAGAATCTAGAGGAAGTGACGCCTAGTGGAAGGTGGTTAGTCCATTGCAGGTGCCTTCTTGAAGGGCTTCAAGGAGTTTCCTGGAACCCTGGTTAATTTTTGTTTCAAAGATTGTTATTAAAATAGGAAGCCTGAACACTGACTGTTTCTCACCATGGGGTGGTTTTCACTTGCATGTGCTCCCACTGTGGTATCATCTGACACATTGTGATACAGTCAAGAAAGCCCTGACCAGAGCTGGGCAATATTGACACTATGCTTTTGAATCTCCAGAACGTGAGTTAAATAATCTTGTTTTCTTTATGTTCCCAGCCTCAGTTGTTTTGTTACAGCAACAAGAAATGGACTAATACATCCAGTGTGTGCTCTATGTTTGTTAATGTTCCATGTGAAATTGAGAAGAATGTAATTATCTTTTCCTAGCTGAGGTGGTTTATATCATATCCAGTTCATTGATGTTGCTGGATTCTATTTGTTCCTTACTGGTTTTTCACCTCCTGTATATCTTTGATAAATGCTCCAGTTTTGCTTCTTGTTTTTCACATGTTCTTTACTTTTTCAGGTAATACTGTTAGCATGTTGATCAGTTTTAAAAATTCCTGCAGGCCCCAGCTATAGAATGCTGAGGTGTGGGGTGAAAGAAAGTGTTAGCCTTGCACTGTGAACTTCACAGGTACTTCAGGTTTTTTCCCCTTCGATGGGAAAAATGCCTGGAGGAGACTGGAGTTGCATACTTTTCTTCTGCCATGTGGGAAGTTAGGGGGGACTGGAGTTTGGTATTTCCCTTCCCGAGTGTATTAGTCTTTGGTATTTTGCCTGGTTAGGGTTTGATGAAATAGTTCCTCTTAGAGCAGGATTGATTAAGAACAGAACTCTTGGGGGCTGGGGATTTAGCTCAGCGGCATAAGTACCTGCCTTGCAAGCAGGCAGTCGTGAGTTCGATCCCTGGTACTGATAAAAAGGAAAAAAAGACCAAAAAAAAAAAAAAAAAAAAAAAAAAGAACAGAGCTGTGGCGTGTTTCAGTGTTTTTCCTGTCCTTCTGAAGGGAGGCTGGAGGGTATTTTTCTTGGGTGTTCACTGTGAGGACCTGTTAGAGCTCCTCAGAGTCTGACTCACAAGTAATGTGCCTAATCCCTTGCATACTTTGTCCACTTAGAGCTTTCAGTCTCTCAGCCTTGTTCACATTGAGTCTCTGGTACTTTACCAATTACGTTGAAGATTTTTCTATGCCAGTACTGTTTTCCAGGGATGTTTCTATTTGTGAGTTTCTGCTCCAGTAAATTGTGAGTTTCTGTATCCCCTGGTCTGTGTCTCTATTAATTGGCGTCATAGTTTGCTCTGTGACTCCATATGACAGCTCATAGAAAAGTTGCTTTCAGTTTGTGTTTAGCTTTTTAGTTGATGTTAGGACAAAGTGAAGACTTTAAGATTCTTATATGTCAGATCAAAGATGGGAAATAATCTTTTTAATGTTTTAGTGTTTCCTCAGAACAGTCAAGTTCCTTTATATCACTGTGGTATAAATTCAAGAAATTGGTGATAAATTTTTATCATCTAAGTAGATTGTGTTCTGTTTTGGCTAGTCGTCCTAATGATGTGCTTTGTATTAATTCCCTCCTTGTCTGTAATCGTGTGTTACAGCTATATCTCTTGGACTTTTTTAAGCCATTTTTACTTTTCATGATAGTAGTGTTTGTGAAGAGGACACGTGAATTGACTCAATCTTTTGTCTTGGGTTTCTCCCTTGGACAGTGAAGTTACCATTTTTTTCCTTTGTAATACATGATATGTGGGGGAGATACTTTTAATACTATATAAATATTTTCTCCCTTATCAATCTCTCATTTAATAGTGTTACCATTCATTTATGGTTCTGCCCAAATCAAATGTTACTATGATGGATCCAAAATGGTGATTTTTTGTTGGTTTGTTTTTGTGTTTTGTTTTCTGTGAGACACAGTCTTACGTAGTTCAGGCTGATCTTGAACTTAAACTATGTAGCTTAGGTTGGCCTTGAATTCACAGAGATTCTCCTGTCTCAGCCTCTGAAGTGCTTGAGTTATAGATGTGTGCCATCACACCTGGCCAAAAGGATGATTTTTCTAACTTTTCCATTCCTTCTACACTTACTGTTTGATGTTCTACTTCAGGAAAGCTTTCCCTGATTGGAGAGTTTTGAAGGTAGAGTGGGGAGGGTGCCATGATCTGAATTATGTTTTGAAAGCAGTAACGTAGCTGCTAAAAAAAAAAAACTGCCGTGAATGCTGCTGCCGAGTGCTGTTTGGTGAAAAGTCGGGCTTGTGAAAGCATCATAGTGCCCCTCATCCTCTGTATTCACCGAGTCTGGCACCCTGTGACTTCTGGCTCCTCTCCCAAATCAGAATGAGCGTTTTGCACTGAAAGAATATGTCAGAAAATGAATGGCTGATTATTTTTGCTCATAGACTGATCTCTGTGGCTATTATTATTAGCTATTATTCATGACTTCCTGCGCGAGTACTTTCTTAAAAGTATTTTCACCTTTACTCTAGAAAGAGGATGTTTTCAGTTCAGACTTAGTTTTGAGTGACAGCCCTTATCTAGGCAAATTGCTTGTTGATTCTTGATTTATCTACAAAATGGAGCTAGTAATACCTATACTACAGAATGCTGTAATGAGAAACCATGTATTAATGATTGAGTTATAGTGTGTAAGACAGATGCTTCTGCCTTTCTATATGGGAGCTAAACCTTCATTTTTTTAAAAGGTAGAAGCTAATTAAATGTCTAGTTAGGGGCTGGGGATTTAGCTCAGTGGCATAAGTGCCTGCCTTGTAAGCGGGCAGTCGTGAGTTTGATCCCTGGTACCGATAAAAAGGAAAAAGACAAAAAAAAAAATGTCTAGTTAACTTAAAACATTTTTTAAGCAAAAGCTCACTTGATCCTGATATTCTACTTACAAGTTATTTTCCTGGTGAGGCAAAATAATAGATATTTATATTCATACTGATATATAATGTGAGGAAACTAATTTCCACTAATAGTTTGTTAATGATCAAGTAAACATATAAAAATTGAGGCTGTTTTAAATGTAGGTCTGCTAATGGGGAAAAAAGTGAATTCTTTTTTGGGGGGTGCAGAATGCTTCGCTTTTGTTGGGGCTCGAAATTCATATTCTACACCCTCAGATTGATCGCAAGATAAAATGAATCCTAGCTCCTGGGCCGTGCAAAAGCAGGAGGCACACTGGGCTTGGCGGACCCTGTCAGTAAGATGATTTCAGCATTTACTTGTTACTGTTTACCTCATGTTTAGTATTTTTGAGTTTGTACCCATTTTCTTTGAACTAATACTGACACATGAACAATATAATTCTTTTCTTGTACTTCCCATAACTATTTTCATTAAACTTATTTTCCAGTAATTTTAGTTTTTAAACTAAAAGAAAACCATTTTTTGAAGATGGGAAAGAGAAAAAGAGAGATGACACAGCTATTTGGAATAAGCAGGGAGAATTTGAAAGTGAATTGCTCCTCCAAGTAATTTTAGGTTCACCAAGAAATTACAAATATATTACAGTTTCTGTGCATTCTTTCTTAGTTACAAAGTACATCATCATTACTGCTTTAAAAAGTGTCTTAAACAATGGCAAGAAAGCTTATTTAAATACGACTTTTAACTATAATTCTGTTCATTGATGAAAAATTTATGAACTTGTCTTTGCTGTTTATTTTCATTCTAGGTCAGCCAGTATTACTAACCTGTCACTGGATCGATCTGGTTCTCCTATGGTACCTTCATACGAGACATCCGTCAGTCCCCAGGCTAACCGGATGTATGTCAGGACAGAGACCACCGAGGACGAACGCAAAATTCTCTTGGTACCAGTCCAGTATCTTTGACTTATTACTAGTTTGAGCGTAAAGCATGTTTGTTTCACTGATATTTTTTAAAAAACGTATAAATGAAATAGCATGTTAATGTAGCAGAAGCAGCATGTGGTGGTGCGTGCCTATAATCTCAGCACTTGGGAGGCTGAGGCAGGAGGATTGCTGCAGGTTCAGCGCCAGTTCAAGGCTAGTCCGAACTGTAGGGTGAAACTTTGTCTCAAAAAACTAAAAAAAGAAAAGAAAAAAAAGTTTAAGCTGAGAAATAATTAGCTTAACTTTCCTGTGGTTATCTGAGAAATTGGTCAAGCTATACTTTTTACATTCATTGAATTAATATTTTCTTTACCTCTTTCGTCTGGGAACATCGGAATGGCTTAAATTTGGCTTCAAAGGATGAATTGATGTTGGCTAGGCAGTAAGAAAAGTGAGTCTCACTAACAGGGAAGGTAGAGGTAAAAATACACATGGCGTTTTCCACTGGCTGAGGCAGGGATTATTAATTGGGAGAGTTCCAGTTGGAGCTGTGGGCAGTGAGAATGGGAAGTTACTTGGCTTTACTGTGTAGAAGGTGATGAATTCAGTCCTCTTCCTAAGTTTAAGCTTGTAGGGCCAGGGGTATAGGTCAGTGACCTGCGCCTGCCTGGAAGATGTGAGGTCCTGTGTTTGAGTCCTGGTACCAGAAAAAGAGATAAATTTGCACTTGTACTGAGCAGTGTTGAAAGGTTTTTTTTTTTTTAGCAGAAGGTAATTAGAGACTTCCCTTAGGAAAATTTCCTTGGCAGTTGTGTGTACAAGGTGAGAATGGTTAGGACGCGGTACCGTGACAGTTAGTAGGAGCAGTTAAAGTTGGGTGATGGGCTGTGGTCTCTCATTACCTTGGCCCATCTCTAAAGAAGGATGTTTTTTGTACTTAACTAGGAGACGCGTGATATGTGCCATTGACTGAAAAAGCTAGTTCCTGGGAAAGTTCTTAAGAGAAAAAAGTTGAAGCTGTTTTCCATGGATGTTTCACATTAAATTGTCTTAAATTAACTGCTATAAAAAATCCCAGTCAACACTTCCTTTATGAATCAAACAACATAGGAAAGCATATGAAAAGGTATATAGCATTTTTTCTCCGGAGTAATGACTTGTTTTTTAATGTGATTGTAGGACAGTGTTCAGTTAAAAGACCTGTGGAAAAAAATCTGCCATCACAGCAGTGGGATGGAGTTTCAGGATCACCGCTACTGGCTGAGAACACACCCCAACTGCATTGTGGGAAAGGACTTGGTCAACTGGCTCATTCGCAATGGGCACATTGCCACAAGGTATTGGGAGCCTAAGAGGGAGATTTCAATTTTCTTTATTATTTTTTAAGTAGGACACATGTTTGAAGATGTAAGGTAACACATTTCTTTGTGAGTTAAGGTGCTTTTCTTTTTTTTCTTTTTGGTACCAGGGATCGAAGTCACAACCTTGCACTTGCCAGGCAGGCACTTAACCACTAAGCCAAATCCTTGGCCCCAGTACTTTTCTTTTTTAGTGTATTTGATGGTTTGGGGAACTAGTCAACCTTCCTTCCACCTGAGATTTAACTAGTAGAGAGTAATTGCAAGGAACTTAATAAGGGTCATAGTTTACCTTATTAAAAGCAGAAGTAGTTCTCAAATCATTGGTCTTTAACCAAACAGGATTGGAGAATGCAGCTCAAGTCTAAGGTGTCAAAGGATTCTCCTGCTACTGTTTTCTAGTCTAGACATTGTAGTCTGTGTTGAGCAGAGGCTCTGCTGTGCTCAACACAGACAACAAAGAATAGCAGGTTAGGTCAGTTCCCTTTCCAGTTAACATGTCCCTGGCTCTCTGCTATGTGCTTAGATGAGCTTTTCTTATGATGAAACAAACATCTAAACTAGTAAGGTTAGAAACAGCTTTAAGAAGACAAGCCCTGGGTTCCAGTTTTGGCTCTATCTCTTTTTAGTTTTGTGTGTTTTGTCAAATTATTCAATACTTTTTAGATGAACCTTTGTTCTCATGTGGGGGAGGTATTTTGGGCCTTTGAATAAGCAGTGTAGATAAAAATGTCAGCTAAGTGCTTTATAAATTGAGAAATGCCATCTGTTATACTGTTACCTATTTCATTCAGATTAGACATTCATATTATATTATATATAATAGTTTGCTTTGCCTTCTTATCAAGACTGAAAGCTCTTTGTGTAAAGGAGCCATACTGTTTTCAACACTTTTTAACTCCTCTGTTAAGAACAGAAGTGTAGCTGCGTGTGGTGGTGCATGCCTGTAATCCTGACACTCAGGAGGCTGAGGCATGAGGATTGTTGAGAGTGCAAGATCAGCCTGTACTACATAGTTCAGAGCCATCCTGAACTAGATAGTGAGACCCTGTCTCCAAACAAAACAAAACAAAACAAAAAACTGTGCATATATTGGGTACTCAAATTCTTGATATTTTTTTGGAATTAGGTTTTGTTAGGACACATTACTAGTAGGTTTTTTTCCCCTTTACTATGGTACCTAGAATAAAATTTATACTTTGCTTCAGGTCTGTCTTATTGTATTCCTTATTTATCCAAGAACTATTTAAAATTCCAACTCTGATCAGAACTGAAAAACAAATTTACATTTTATGTTGTACCAGTGGAATTATTCTGACTGCTTTTGTTGGTCTTGATCCAGGGCACAAGCCATAGCGATCGGACAGGCAATGGTGGATGGACGCTGGCTGGACTGCGTCAGTCATCACGACCAGCTCTTCAGGGATGAGTATGCGCTGTACAGGCCGCTGCAGGTGATTCTCAGTGTTCCTGCTGATCTGGACGCAGCAAGCTTGTTTTTAGGCTTTCCTGCATCAGTGGGGTAAAAAGGAAGTGGATTGCTCAGAGATGCCTTTTATACCACGATGGCCCTGCCTGTGAGGGAAAGGTGCAACACTGTTTATTTCGGTGCTGGGGAAGGCACCCAGGGCCTGGTGCATTCTAAGCAAGTGCTCCACCACTGCACAGCCCTACTGCTTTGTTTTCTTTTTCTTTTTCTCCTCCTCCTCCTCCTTTTTTTTTCCTTTCTTCCTCTTTTTTCTTTCTTTCTTTTTTTTTTTTTTTTAACTTTAAAGTGCTTTTGATTTAGTAGCAGTGACGTTTTTCATTTTATTCCTTTAGTGTACCTTTGCTTAACCTTGGGATTGTGGTATTACTATTTCTTGTCATTTAATTTTAATGATTTTTAGCTTCACTTTACCTGTGCTTCTAGAATTAAGGAATGGCATATACATGACAAATGATTAAAAAATTTCATGTTAGCTGTCAAAATGGATTTTAATGCTAGTGGTATGAAATAATACATAAATTGTACAGAAATGATTATCTTCTTGACTTTAGAGGAAGACTTAAAGGGTATGCTTGTTTTACTGTTTTTGTGACTGTAAATACATATTTAAAAATAACAATATATATAGAACGCCTTTGTGAACTAAATTTGGAAACTCAGTGGTCAGAGAAAGGCAAAGAGCTTCAGAGGTTGGTGTGATGTAATTTGTTGTAATCAGTTATTTCCCAAGGTTTGACCTAAAATTGGCCCAGGTTAAACTAAATTAAAAGCTATCTTCACATTCAGGATTAAAGGGTGAAATGAAACTCTGTAAAATCTTTATCAAAGAAAATGTTTTCTTCATAATATGCTGTCTAAACCTTTTAGTTAATGAAAATTAGAATTTTAGGAGTGGAATTGTCAGTGTGATGCTCTTATAAAGTTTAGTTTTTATGTAACTTTTACTTCGGTTATGTAAGTTTACTGTTACTAGATTTGTAGAAATACTGAGCTACAATTTATTTGTGATGTGATAGCTCATGTTGTTGTTGAAATTAATTGTCCGGGTCCTTCTTGGTCCTTCCTTTCAGAGCACAGAATTTTCTGAGACGCCTTCTCCAGACAGTGACTCGGTGAATTCTATGGAAGGACACTCAGAGCCCTCCTGGTTCAAAGACATTAAGTTTGATGACAGTGACACAGAGCAGATAGCTGAAGAAGGTGATGATAATTTGGCTAGTGAGTTTGATTTTCTGACATTGTAGTTTTTATGGGTATGTACTTATGATACAATGAGTGTCTCATTTACTTCGAATGATTGCTAAACTTGTGGCGCCTGCTAAATGTAAACATGTGGTAGCAATCCTTGTTTTAGATACAGTATTTTCTTATGAAACCAACTTGGTAGGCAACTGGCATTTCCAGATTTTATTGTAGTATATAGTTTGCAGCAGCTTAAGAATAACTCTGAGCTAATAGTATTGCAGCAACTGTCTCACCGCCTCACTATAATATCAGACTTTTCTCTCTGCAGAACCTCCAATATATTTCTTTATTTTTCAAATTGATTTCATATTTAATATGTTCAAATTTTATATGTTTACACAGAAGTATGTGAAAATACTGTATCCATTTTGGTATTGCACATTGGGCTTGTATATTAAAAGAAACATTTTTCTCCTTTCCTCCAATACCCTGATAAAACCCATTTTTACTCCCCTCCTCTCCCTGTATTTCTTTCCCCTCCCCAACACTAAAAGATTCTGCCAGTCCTAGCAAGCGCACCTCAGTCAGCAGTTTCCAGTCCACAGTGGACAGTGACTCAGCCGCTTCCATCAGCCTGAACGTGGAGCTGGACAACGTGAACTTCCATATCAAGAAGCCCTCCAAGTACCCACATGTGCCCCCTCACCCTGCTGACCAAAAAGGTAGGAGGTAGTCATTATCTGGAATCCAGACAAGCTGGAGAGCTGCCCCCTGGTGTCCCCTGTCCCGTGTGGCTGAGGGGAATTGGTATGGGTCCTGTTCCACCCTTTCTCACACCTGCTCCCCACATACCTTGATGGTTGATTCCTTGTATTTCTCCTTTTCTCCCTCAGTATCACCATGCCCAGTTTAAAGCTTAGGGTCTTTAAAAGGAGCTGCATTTGACTGCTCTTCCCATAATGTGCAACTTCCAAGGTGGCATTTCTTTGCATTTATCACGTGGATGTTCTGCTCTAGTTTTTTCTCTTTCTTCACTTAACATTTTAAAGCCTGTTTGCCTTTGCAGTAACATAGTGTCTCTAAGCCTGTTCAGTTGCTTGAACTATACTGGCAGGAATTACACATTTAAAAAATCTTTTGCTACTGTTTAAAAGACCCAGTATGTATATAGTACTTAAAAAATTCTTATCTAATTAATACAAAATGAATTAATTATTTTTAGCTATTTTATTTGGTGATTTAGTTTACTGACTAAAAATGCCTTATTCAGGTCATTTGATATAAAATGAAAAATAAGGTAAACCATTTCTAAAATCTAACATATGACATGTAAGAAATGAAGTGCCTTTTTAAAAGCTGGATGATGAGCTTTACATTATTGGGTGTTTTAGAAACTAGTCTAAATTATGCCCATATTGTGGTATTATATAAAAGTAAATTGAGTAATCAGGGAGTTGTGTCATGATAATTAAAAAGTTATGCCGGTGAAGCACATCATTCCATCGTTTTACTTGGAGTTTGAATTTGGAACATTCAACTCAATAAATTGTCTCTTAAATCTGAAATGCTTGCCTAATTCTTTGCTATTTTGAACCTAAGGATAACAGAAACAAGATTTTTTAACTTAAATGCTTAAAGTAATTTGAAAAAACTTAAAATTTCTTGTCAGTATAAACTATATCTGCATGTTATAAAATGTTCTTAAGAGAATAATAAAAGGGTGTGTCTCACTTATAAGAAACTTAGAATGGGAAAGGAGATTTGTTTAGCAGTGAACATAGAAAAGATACACATCTTTATGAAAAGCCTCAAAACAGAATTTGGAAAAGTGATGGAGAATGTCTGAGTGAGCATGAAAGAACAGTGAAGCTGCCGTCACACTTGTGTGATGTAGGCTGTGGTCACGTGGAGGGTTTGAGGGTGCTTGTAACATAAACATGCAGATATGCGGGTGAGGCTGGCTGTATCATGACAGGACAGCTCCGCGCTATGCACACTTGTTGGCAATTTCATTTTGCTGAAAGCAGTATGTAGAAGCATAGCATGCTGATGATTTTACCTCTGGGACATTAAGGAAATTTTGAAAATCTTGAAAGTGATCTGTCATGGAATTCATAATGGTGAAGCACAGACGCCTGAGCATGGTCACACATTTACTCAGGGAAGCCTAACTTAAGGCTGGTGGCAGAACGAAGAACAAGAGGTTCCACTCATGGCGGTTTTACATGACATCTTGCAGGAAAGCAAAAGGGGAAGCACCTAGAGTTAAAAGCCATCATGGCGCCTCTGGGACCTCTGTGATCTCAGATCTTTAAAAAGATTGTCTGCACAGATTGTGAGCGGCAACCTTCACATGATAGTAAGTCTGAAAGGGGCCAGTGCTTTCAAGAAAAATGACAGCAGAGCCGAAGTCCAGATGGCGCTGAAGGTTGAAGAAAATGCCAAGGATATCTGGGAACAGATTCGGGGTGCCATAGAAAAGAAAGATTTGGCAAGTTATTTAGGGAGATTGTTAAAGTATTGATGACTGAAGAAAGGTTTTTTCCTTCTTTGTCAAGATTAATCTCAGCAGCAAAGAGTATAGTTGAAAGGAAAGGAAAGTGTAGGAGAGTGAAGAGGTGAGAGAAACCTGTTTATTTTAAGTAAGTCTGTTGCCGGGGTTAGGCGGACAGTATACCAGGTTATTGAAGGGCTGTAGGTCTGTGATCGTGGGGCTGGAGTTTGTTCTTGAAGAATCCTGTAAAATAGGAGAAAGTCTAGCTGACTGCAGTGATAAACACATTACATTTTTAAAAAAGGTGGCTTCTTAACAGTGCTTTAAAAGGCAGCAGAATTGGAGAAGAGCTTAGTGAATAGAGTACATTATGGTGTTCGGAAAAGGATTAATGTTGTGGGAGATTTGGTTTATTAACTAAAATAAGTAATTTTGAAACAACTTCATTTCCATCTTAGGGTGTAGGAGGTTAAGAGATCAGGAGAATATGATAGCTACAGCTTTCTGTGATGTCAGGCATTGAATAGTCCTTAATAGCTTTGTGAACGAAGATGACAGTTTTGTATATAAGGTGTGTTAGACTTAAAGACAGTGGTCATATGTGTTTTTTAAAATCACAGGTTCTGGGGTCTTTGTGACAGCTTACATGCATTTATGGGATACAAAATGATGTTATGATCTATGTGTATGTGGAACAATTAAATCAGGCTAATTAACATTATCCATTACTTTAGAGACGCGACTTGGATTTGTTTGTTTTTTTGTTTTTGGAGATAGGGTCTTGAAATGTAGTTCAGGCTGTCCTTGAACTCACTTTGTAGCCCTGGGTGACGTCAAATTCACAACCATCCTCCTGCCTTAGCCTCCTCAGTGCTGGAATTACAGGGGTGCATCACCACACCCAGAAATACTTAAAATTTTTGTGATGACATTTTCTTGGCAGTTTTAAATATAGAATGTACTATTATTAACTATAATCATGTTGTATAGTAAATCTCAAAAAATATATCCCGCTATTTACCTAGAATTTTCTATCCTTTGATCAACATTTCTCTTTCTCTCTCTTTTTTGATACTGGGGATCGAACTCATGACTTTGCGTTTGCCATGCAGGCACTTGCGCCACTGAGCTAACCCCCTGGCCCTCCCTGTCTTCTACCCAGCCTCTCACCACCACCATTCTATTTCCTATGGGTTTTGGGTATAAAAAACAGAAAGACTAGTTTGGTGAATGTAAGAGCTCAGCAGTACCACTGTTAACGCATGTAACTTGTCTTAATAGTAATGCAGAATATTGGAAGGATAAATAATAATTTGTTGTTAGCAGGAAGAGACTCCTATATTACATATATAAAGGTTTTTTTTTATTCAATATTGTTCAACACTTATTTTTTGGTCCATACTTTTAGTGTTTTTCAGATCTACAAATCATTAACATCTAGAGAATGCTAGCATATTAGATAGCAGAAATAGGATTTTAAAATCTGTATTTTCTTAAGCAGTAGCTGTGACTAACAAGATAAAATTTAACACAGATAGTGTAACTAGCCAAAGAAGTTCTTTTTTTGTTTTGGTTTTCTGAGACAGGATCTCATTATGTATATCTGGCTGGCTGGCTTTGCATTCACTGGCCCAGGCTGGCTTTGAACTGGTGGTGATCCTCCTACCTCTCAAGTGCTGGGATTGCAGGTGTGTATCACTACACCTGGCCTGTCTACTATTAATGGTCTGGAAAAAGCCATTCTCAGTAATAAGGTTTAGTTATCTGCAAATTCAGTTCAGTTCAATTCAGAATTTCTCACTATTGGTCTTAAAAAGTTGCACAATTAAAGTACATTTCCTTAAGTATGTGTTGCAAGTAGGATTCTAAACCATTCTGGGAATGGTAAGTAGAGAATAAAGAAGAAAATGAGAATGGTAGTTTCTGTAAGCCTCTTGATTAGATTTCCCTGTATGTGTGAGGCATAGAGGAGCAAGTTAAGCACATCATAAATCAAATCTAGAATGTGAGACATTATACAGGATTTTTGGCCTGAATTTTTAAAAATTCTTTATCACAGAAAGAACAACTTATGGAAAGTTCATTCTAGGTTAGAAAACAGTGAAGGGGTATGACATCCAAGTGCCACAAATGAACCTTGTTAGGTCTGAGTATGAAGAAAAACTACCAAAGGCATGTTGAGAACAGTTGGTTTATTTCAGTAGACATTAATAGCATTAAGATGCTGAGAGATGCTTGTTGAAGTCTTAGTGGAAAAGTGTTGTAGTGTGTATAACTTTAAATGGTTGGGGAAAAAAGCATATATATTTGTAGAGAGAAAAGAGATGTGACAAATCCTTAAATTGTGGAATCTAAGAAATTTACAGCATTGTATTTTAGAATATTTTTCATAACTTTGGGGAAATGCATCATTTCTGGACTCATTTAATCTTCAGTGTGAGAAGTAAAGCTCATGAAGAACAGTAAGCTGAACTAACAGAATTTAGGACTATACATTTCTGCAAGGAAAATACAGAAATAAAACATAGTGTCTATCTTACCTACATACTTGCATTTATTGTATATTGCATTTGTATACTGCAGATAATATAATTTTTCTACTTTCTGTTTGGAAGAATGATTACATTGGCTTATGAACATTTACTTTTGAAGTCCATTTGGATATAAATGAACTTGAAAAAATTTTTGTGGAGAATTTTTAAAGGAGTTTAAATACCTTGTGGTTTAATTTCCATATTAAAACCTCATTTGAACTAAGCTCAATCACCTACCTAGGGGAACATTTAAGGGGAAGTAATGAGTAAGTTTCACTTGTAAGAAACATACTTAAACTTTAAAAAGCATTCAGAGTGTGCTTAGCAGTTATCTTCTCACAAAAATTTGGCATGAGTTAGAACTTTTGAAAAACAAAAACTGAATAATGAGAAAAAACAAAACCTCAATAAAAAAACCTAATATCTTTATCCTCTGCTAATGTTAATTTCATATAAATTTGTTTTATAGCTTATATTCGTAAGTTTAAAATATGTTCTATCAAGTGGTTTCTTTGTGAACTACATTGTATATAGACGGATTCATTATTTGTTAAATCACAGTTATACATAAAAATTGCGTGACATTTTAGGCTTATTATGCAACTTACAACCTCAGGTTTCATAAACTGGTTCAGTTTTGGTAACTAGACATCTACCATTTGGTAAATGCTTGACATTTGAAGTAAAGTGAATTGTTTCATGGTTTGGTTCAGTTTGAATTCAAACCTATTAAGTTTAACCGTGAAGAGTTCAGAACACGTGTAAAGAGGCCTTTTAGCTCAAAGCTTTGTTGAGATGGGCCAGTGTGGCCCTTCCAAGGAGCAGGCTCTTGCATGTGGGTGTGTGCTTGGTGCACTTGCGCTGGCCTGTTGGAGTCATGTGTGTTTTCTTTTCTTCCTCTTCTCTGTTCTCTCCTGGCTATGCAGAGTATTTGGTTTGTGACTCTGGAGGACAACAGCTCTCCATAAGTGACGCTTTCATCAAAGGTAATTTTATCCACAGTTGTACAGGGGATGGTGTTTCTTGTTCCTGAGGGTATTCTGAGGTCCCAGCATAGTAATTGGCACAGAGTAGGTACTGAAAATATATTTGATTGTTTTAGTATCATAGGAACACCGCTTTGATATGTATAATGATATGTATAATGACTGAGAATGTTGAAAGATAAGAATGTAAACCTGAACTTGATTTGAGAATTCCCTGACCTGAAAAATAGTTGTTTGAAAGCATGCATTTATTTATTTATTTATTTATTTATTTAATTTATTTATTTATGAGACAGTGTCTCACTGTATATTCCAGGCTGGCCTCAAACTAATGGCAGTCTTCCTGCCTCAGCCTCCCAAGTGCTGGGATTACAGGAGTATGTCACCATGCCTGGTTGAAAGCTTTTAATTACAATTTCAATTTTATTTTTAAAGAATAGTTAATACTTTCTTACACTATGAATAAGTCCAAACTACATAGTGAGTCCAAGACCAGTCTGGACTCCATATTGAGATCCTGTCTCAAAATAAATTATCTGAATAGACTTTCCTCATTGTTTCCTGTTCAGAGATGAGATACCTGAGCAGAACCTTTGTGTTGAAAGCTCAGTGTCGGCACTGTTGTGTATTAATTCTGCAGGTGCTTATATTTACAATTTTCCATTTGTGATTTTGTGGGGGAAATAAAACACTTTCCTCTTTAAATATTACAACATGTGTTAAAGGACAGTGAAAAAAAAACAAAAGCCATTTTATTGCCTTTTATAAGCCATTTTTCACTTGAGTCCTAGTCTTTATGTAAATTTGCCCTTTTCAGTTCTGTTTTGGGGTTTTGGTGCTTATCAGTTGCTTCTCTTTTTTTTTTCATTTTCTCTTTTTGCAGTGCTGGGAATTGAGGTCAAACCTAGGTCCTTGCATAGGTTGGGGACATGCTCTATACCTCAGCCTCTGCTTCTGAATTTTTAATACATTTGTGTATGTACATATGTATTTCTGTATTATGTATTTTATGTATTTATTGTATATTATATGTCTTTGCCATTTTACACCAATAATTTATGTTGGCCAACTTAAAAAGTTTAAAAAGAGAAATTGTCAATTTGCAGTTGTGTGAATAGATAGTATACAGTGTGATGATGAACTAGTAACTTCTTCTTTTGTTCTTAGAATCCTTGTTTAATCGTCGAGTAGAGGAAAAGTCCAAAGAGCTGCCTTTCACGCCTTTGGGCTGGCATCACAACAATCTGGAGCTCCTGCGGGAGGAGAATGGGGAGAAGCAAGCCATGGAGAGGCTGCTGTAAGGCAGAGCGCTTTCTAATTTTAATTTTCTAGTTTTATTACCTTCAACGACTTAGGCAAGTGCATAGTTCCCTATGTAAAATAAAATAGAACTTACTTAGGATATAAAACATAATCTTATTTCTGGTGAAGTCTCTATAAAAAAGAAGAGCCCCAAACTGTTTGTCCACATTTATGTCTCAAAATTCTATTTCAGCAAATTAATGGAGACATCTTAATTAACTGTATTTACAGACTTCATTTACTGTATGCACAAAAACAATTAAGGTGCTTCTCCCAAACCCCATTAAGATGCAGATTCAGAAAAGAATGAGATCTTATTTGTGAGTCTTAATTAATATACTTATTTCTTTGTGGACTGCTTTTTGTGTTTTCAAAAATTGTGTCTAGAAGTACTGACTGTTGAAACATCTTTTTGTGACATTTTGTAGGTCAGCTAATCATAGTCACATGATGGCACTTCTTCAGCAGTTGCTCCATAATGACTCATTGTCACCCTCTTGGAGGGACATCATTGTGTCGCTGGTCTGCCAGGTTGTTCAGACAGTCCGACCTGATGTCAAGAACCAGGATGATGACATGGATATCCGTCAGTTTGTCCACATCAAAAAGGTGAGCTCTCCTAATGCTCCATAAATTTGAGAATCATGAGGCTGGCCGGATGGCAGTTTGTCTCTTACTAAGTAATCTAAAAAGAAAGTCATCACTGCGAGGATTGCTGGTGATGAGTGGGTGTTTTGTTCTCTGCTCCATTAGCAGTGCACTTGGGGGATGTGGGAGCCACTCGGAAGTGAGAAGTGGGTGGAAGGGTTGAGTTGCATGGAGGATGAGGTGGGAACCCAAGCAAGTATAGTTCTTTTCTTTCTCACTTCTTCTTGACTGACACACTGGTTCTGAAAAAGTGTGTTCTTGCCAATCAGTGGCTCATTGCTTTAATTCAACAGTAATAGAGTTCTGTGTATATTTGTCACTACAGCTAAAACAACACTAGTTTTTAATCGCTGTAGACACCAGTTTATTCAGCCACTGAGTACTTTAGAGTCAAATAGTACATTAGAGAATAGGGATTGGGAAGCAGACCATTAGGCAGAGATGCTATTAGTCACCAACTAAAAGGAATAAATATATCCTGGAACTTTGTGTCCTCATTAGATCATATAATAGTTAAAATACAACATGTAAAGGAATAAGAGCATCCACCTGAGTGGATTTTAAGGATTTATCACTGAATTTGTTTTCTTAATTACTCCATTAGATTCCTGGTGGAAAGAAATTTGATTCGGTGGTTGTCAATGGCTTTGTTTGTACGAAGAACGTTGCACATAAAAAGGTAACGTGATTCAGTTCAACAGTGAAGTAAAGCAGGTACTTGTGAGCTAGGCTGACAAGTTGGTATACCTTAATAGGCAAATAGGCATCAAGGGCAACTAGCAGGTGACATTTTGGAGGTTGATAGAGGGTCTCTTGGAGCTGATGTTGAATGGATTGTAATTTGCATAGTGAGAATTCATCAGACAGAAGGGAGGAGGAAGGCTAGGCTTCCAGAGCAAGAGTGTTAGAGTATTGGTGTATTCTCTTCAGGTCTTGCCACTATCTCAGGAGATGTGGTTCTTCGGGAGTCTTTCAGGAGGCTTAGCATTATAAAACTGTTCTCCATTCTACGCTGAGCTATAGAACTTCTGTTGTTATCTGTCATCCTTCTCACCTGTGCTCTCTCTCCCTGAGTCCTGAAGCTTTTCTTGCACCAGCACAGAGTTGGAGTAAAATAACCTTGGGGATTAAGTAGTCTCTGAGGTCCTCAGATGTCAGGTGGGCTGGGCGACGGCAGATGAGGCTGGAGGAAGCAGGCAAGGGCATTTTGTCCCAGTAATGGGCTGAAACTTTGCTTGGCAGGCCTCTAACTCTCAGAGGTTGGCACAGATAGTGTGGATCGCCCATGGATCTAGTTAAGTGTGTTGCTGCCTGAGCTCAACGTCTTAGAAGTTCTGCTTCATCAAGGCTGGGAGAGTGGGAGTGTCTGGAGGCTGCGGAGGAAGTGGTGGTGAGAATTAAAGTGGGAACTCCAGTGCTACGTGCATGTAGGAAATAGTGCAGCTAAACCCGTTAGTACATGCAGCTGTATCTTGTGGTGAAAAATGAACAGGTACAACCAGAAACATGGAGGAGATGCAGCTCAGCAGCATGGCACCTGCCTGTGAAGTGTAAGGTTATTTCGCAGTACAAAACAAAAACAAAACAAAGAAACATAGGCCCTCTAAATGTTTCCAGAGTCGTTTGTTGGTGCTCACATTTTAATACTGAGTAGCAGTATTTTCAGACCTTGCTGTGCTCCAGAGTTACCTAAGTTTCTTACTAAAATAGAGATATCCTGGCCTCACTTCTGGAGATACTGATTTTCTTTCAGTGAGAGCCGAGGGAGAGTCCTGCCTTGAGCAAGTAGACTGATGAACTGTAATCATGTTTTCATTCTTTTCTAAGTGGAGAGTAATACAGTTGGCCCACGGTAACCACAGGGAATTGGTACCAGGTCCTTAGTGATACTGAGATGTGAGGGTGCTCAAGCCCCCTCACTAAAACGGTGCAGGCTTTGCATATAAACTGTGTCTACTCTCCTGGTTACTTCACATTATTTCTAGGTTTCTTACAAGAGTATAGTGTAAATGCTGGTTAGTAGTCATGTTTAGGAAATGATGACGAGACAAAATCTGCATATTTAGTACAGGCACAGTTTTTTTCCCTCCACATACGTTCTGTCTATGCTGGGTTGAACCCATGGATTGAAGCCACAGATGTGGAACTTATGAATACAGAGGGCTGATTGTAAGGAATTATGCCTCCACAAAATTATTAGTGACCACAGATGCATAAAAGTGTGCTTGGATTCAGTATTATTTCACAGCAGGCTCTCGTGGCTTTCCTCCTGAGAGCCCCCCTGTTTCCTGCAAAGCCTACTTTTATCTTGCTTTTTCCTCTTTTACTCAGCCCAGACTTGCTCTGCAGAGCCAGTTTCTCCCTCACTGTTCACTTTTACTTTTTAAAATAAACTTTGCCACTGGTGTGGGGAGCAGAATTGCATAGCAGTAGCCCCAGATTGGCCAATATTTCATTAATAGTCTTTTTTAAAAAATGTATTAGCACACTTGCAGTTCAGGGAGTTTGCAGTCATCTTGGGGAGTGGTTCTGTGTTCACACTATAGTGTGTGTTTTACTTCATCCCTTTATCTTTCTGTCCCCCTCTGCCTTCCTCTTTCAGTTCCCCCTCACCAGTTTCATACTTTTTCGTGTTATTTTTCTGTTCTTTTTTTTGGTACCAGGAATTGAACTCAGGACCTTGTGCTTGCTGGGCAGGCACTTGTGCCGCTGAGCTATATCTCCAGCTCTCTAAGCCTGTAATTTCTTTCTTTTTTTTTTTTTATTTTTGGTACTGGGTATTGAACTTGTGACCTCACACTTACCACAGGTGCTTATGCCACTGAGCTAAATCCCCAGCCCTGTGTTATTTTTCTTGGCTCATGTTATGTCTATAAGGCTTACATTGATTAGAATCGTTAGAATCCTGTGCATTGGCACATCTTTGTTTTTCTCATTTCATTAATAGCCTTATTAAAACAAGATTACTCTTTAAAGTTGTATTTTAAACTTAATTAAGTGATGTTTAATTTTAAGCCAGATTAAGATAAACATATTATATTTTTCACAGGAACTACAGAAAGCCACATGTGGGTATGGTAGAAAAATGCGCATGAGTGACTGACTTGCCCTCCAATCATATTTAAAGATAGCCTTAAATTTGCAATGGCTAAAAGACCCTAGTGGGTGCCTGCTGTCAGCTGTTCGGCGCAGTGTACAGTGTGTGAGGGAGGTCAGTCTGATGCCTGCCTGATTGCAGGTTGCAGGCTATGGTGCCTACAGATGTTAGTTGCATGTTTGGGACACTTGAGACTCTAATTTTGGAGATGGTTTAAAATTTGCTTTTTAATTTTATGTCACCCAGTTGAACTTGCCAGCTGAAATGATTATTTGAAACTGTAAACTATTAGGAGTATGTTCAGAAGGCAGTTTAATTCTTTTTTTCCTCTTCTGCCCCATTTGGAAGTTCATCCTCTTACTGGTTTGTTCTGGAGGCATTTCAGTTATTTTGTTTTTCATCTACCTCTCTTGAAACAAAATTTGTTTTGCTTTGTTTTTTTGAGAAAGAGTCTTGCTATAGTTCAGGCCAACTTGAACTCACTATGTAGCCCAGGCTGTCCTTGAACTCGAAGCAATCTGTCTGCCTCAGCCTCCCAGGGCTGGGATTATAGGCATATACTGCCACACCTGGCCTACTTGAATTTTTTTTTTTTTTGATAGCAAACAATAGTTTGTCCTTGAGAGAGTGCCAGTATGTGTTTTACAGATTGAGTCCTTATTTGTAGCTTTTTATGAGCAGAAAAAGGGGGGCAGTTTGTAGGTAAAAAGCATTCACATAGACAAGTAGTGGTTTTTCTCAAACATTATGAATATCTAACCAATATCTAACTGTAAATAAAGAATAATATGTACATAAACTGTTCAAACAGTACCATGACTTTACAATCTTTAAAATTTTTGTTAGTGCATCTGTTTAGTGCATAATCTTTATATTGTTTGTGGGTAGTCAGTACATGTGTGTAACACATCTTAACTCCTGTTTTTCATTCCTTTCCTCTCCTTTCCATCTCTTGAATGGAAATGTGCTGTCAGAGTTCTATCTTGGAGTAGCCTGTTTGTAAGCCCCATATAATAATGTCTTATAATAAATGAAGTTTGATAAAAGTTAAAGAGATAGAGGAATAGATTTGACTAAGTACAAGACACATTTTAAAAGAATTTTGCTTTGGTCTGAACAAATTATTTGGAAAAAAAAAGAACTCAAAAATACTAAAGGACAGTATATTAACACTGAAAAAATGATGTTCTTTAAATTAGTGGTAATTAGGAACAGTAGGAATTTAAAGTTATGATCAAAAGAAGTCTGAATTACAAACCTTTAGCAGCATTAACTGTTCATTTTGTTGCAGATGAATTCTTGTATTAAAAACCCCAAAATTCTTCTGTTGAAGTGTTCCATCGAGTATCTCTACAGAGAAGAAACGAAGTTCACTTGCATTGATCCTATTGTGCTTCAGGTACTGTTTGTTACTCAAGAATTTTGAGGGATGTAGTTTTTTTTTTGTGGGGAGATGTAGGTTTTTAAAATTAATTTTATTGGTATACGTTAGCTATCCATCATGATCACATTCGTCTTAGGGAGTCTGTGCCTGAACGTGGTGAGTCTTGATTCTTTTAATGCCTCATTCCCCTCAATCCCTCTTCCCCTCCTTGTTTACGAAAGCTTTGTTTTCATATTTTCTTTCTATTCTTTTTTTTTTTTTTTCTGCGTTTGGAGGGATATGTTTTACTATGATACTTGCTGTCTTTTAATTATTTTTAAAGGAAACTTCTTACTCATGTTGTTTTTAAAAATTCATTGTAAAAAATAATTGTATTATTTAGAGCTAGCTTACCCAACCCGCTACCCTCGTTTTTAAAGTTTGAGATTGCTAAAGGGAACTCAGGACTACATCAAACAGAAAAGTGAAACCCAAAGGTTGGTTTCCCTTTCCCACTTGGGCCATTGATTTCCTGGGAAAATTTTTGGAACTTTTCAGGTCTTGCTGTAGTCTTCATTTGATACTATTGTCTGTTCTGTTAAACATTTCTGGAATACATTGAATTTGTATATAGTTGGCAAGAAGAGGAATGTCACATGCAAATGCTGCTGGCTTCTGTGTGTTTTCCTAAGCAAGGGGGCTCAGAATAGCTGCAGTAAGATTATAGTCCTCATTTGGAAATGAAAAGTGCCTAATCTCAGCTGTTGTACAGGCAAGAGTCTTTTCGCTCTGTTTTGTTGTTGTTGTTTTTTAAGACAGGGTGTTATTTTATGGTTCAAGCAGCCTTTAACTCACTATGTAGCCCAGGCTGGCTTAGAACTCGGTAAGATCCTCCTGCCTTGGCCTCCTGAGAAGGTAAATGTGAGCACCTGCCTGCAGGTTCTCTCCCCAGGGAGGCACCCCTGGACCCTGTGTGTTTGTTGGTAGCTTTAACTGCGCAGGGCTCCATGCCCAGGTGTATGGTTGTAGTCTGTTGTATGCCTTTTAAATTTCCTTCGATGCAGCCTCTTTGCTGTCTGGCTGTCTGGGCTGTCCAGGTTCTCTTCTGCTCAAGTGCTGGTGTTGTGCATATGAAGTTGGCTAGGTTTTAAGTTTTTTGCCTTTTTTTTTTTTTTTTTTTTCCAGAAAAGGTGTTAATTTAATGTGTGGTCATTCAAAATGGGAAGTTTTCAGCAATGTAAATACCATATTGCAGGAGAAATTTATACCCAGTTACAGAAACCTTTAGGAAAAGCTTACTTGAAAATTCAAGGTAATCAACATCTTCCTAATCATGTTTGTTCTGAATTCATAGATACTAGTAAGCAAAACTGAGCAGTGGTCCAAGGTGTAGTGCGTTTGGAAATTGTGCTCCAATCTCGAGCCTGTTGCCTGGGTCTCACTCAGTGTTTTTTGGAATCAGCTGATGTTACCAGTAAACATGTGGCTAGACTTAGTTGTAGTTTGACTGCTATGATTTTTTTTCAGCAGAGAACTTGAAAGAGAGGAATTGATTAGTGCTGTTATGGGATGGAAGGAACTGCTGGTGAGTGTTCTTGGTGCTGAAAGTCAGGTGCATGGCTGCTCACTTGTGTCTCGTGCACTGGACTCCGCTTCCATCTCCGTGCTGGGGCTTTTCTATCTCACAGAAGATTTCCACAGAGGCCCTTTCCAGGATTAGATCATTGATCGTGGCTGCATGCTGGTTGTAGAGATGATAAAATGAAGTAGGGTAATTGAAATCTACAGGTACTACTGTGTTGTTATTTTTTTTTTTTTTTTTTATTTAAGAGGAAAAAGAGAAAAACACAAAACAAACCAAAGCGGCGTAAGGGTACACGCAATACAGAACTACAAACAAAACAAAACAAAACAAAAAAACATAACAGTAAGAAATCACCTGCTAGTAGATTACACACTATCTTCTTGAAAATAGTTCCTCAAATCACAGTATCAAAGAACACAAGGTGGACATTCAAACAGGGAGTCCGCAAACAGCTGTGTTTAATGTTCCAAAAACATTGATATAGTCAGCTATTTAACACCCCCAAACACACTTGCTGTTATATCCGTTAGAGCTCTTTTTCTTTTTTTTTTCCCTCTCTTTTTTACAACAAAACCCACACATCCTGGATTTTATTACTCCTTAGTGCTCATTACTTTCTTTGGGGGGAGGAAAGAATACAGTCAAATATGGCAAAACAAAGCTGTCAGTCAATACCAAGGGTAGACATAGCACATGGTGCAGAACAGAGTACAAGTTTATCAACAATAATTATCAACGTTGTCCCCTGTTTCCTTAAAAAGAATTGTCTATCTCAACAGATATCATAAAGTTGGACAAAACAGTAGAGAACAAGACCAATACAACTTAGGCATTGTAAACATTACAAGACTTCCAAAGAATACAATAGTCAAACCAGAATGGGTATCTTAGTGAATCTTATTGTCTTCAAAGTAGGTGCCTATGTCTTCAAACTTGATACTATCATATAGAATGGAACAGAGTCTAATCAGTCAAAACAAGATCATGGGAGTACTACAGGACTTCAAAACAAGTTAATAGGAAATCGAAAAGAGTTACTATTTATATATCCTAATTTTTTTGAATTTTTTCTTTAATTAAGACAAACATAAGAAATGACTAAATAATTTTTTTTTGAAACAATAAGGGGGAGATTGAGATAAAACAGGACATAACAATATAACAATAGAGGTCACAGCATGACTGTTTCAACAACCTAGTACTTCACCACCTTATAACCTGACTTAATAGTAGTTACCATAGTGTCTTTTTCCTTGAAATATTTGGATAAAACTTCATATACTCTAGCTTCAAATATTTTCATATCAAGAAGCCCAGAATAAAGCCTTTCTAATTAATGAGTGAAAACTTTATAAGGCTTCAAGGCCACCTAATGGGGAATCATGATTACCACATATTTTTATATATTTGAATCATTATTTACATTAGGGAAACTATTCGGTATTCACACATGCGAGATTGATTTATTTCACTAATGAGTATGGTCTCAAGCTGCGCCCATTTATTGATAAATATCTCAATGTGATCCTTCTTTATAGCTGAATAATACTCCATTGTATAGAAATACCACAACTTTTTTATCCATTCCTCAGTTGATGGACACTTGGGTTGTTTCCAAGATCTGGCGATTACAAATTGTGCTGCTATAAACATAGGTGCACATATATCACTGTGGTATGATGCTTTCAGTTCTTCTGGGAATATGCCTAGAAGTGGAATAGCTGGAATAAATGGGATTTCCAGTCCCAACTTTTTGAGAAATCTCCAGACAGATCTCCACAAAGGCTGTACCAGTCTACACTCCCACCAGCAGTGCAGGAGAGTTCCTTTTTCCCCACAGCCTCTCCAGCATTTGTTGTCGGTTTTCTTGATCCTGGCCATTCTTTCAGGAGTGAGATGGTATCTCAGTGTGGTTTTAATTTGCATTTCTCTAATGACCAATGATGATGAGCATTTTTTCATGTATTTATTTGCCATTTGCATTTCTTCATCTGAGAATTGCATATTCATCTCAGATGCCCATTTTTGGATTGGATCTTTGAATTTTGGAGGTCTGAGTTTCTTTAATTCTTTATATGTTTTAGACAAGAGGCCCTTGTCTGAGAGAGAGTTCACTAAAATCTTTTCCCAGTTTGTGGGTTTTCTTTTCACTATGCTGGAGATTTCTTTTGACATGCAGAAACTTTTTAATAAGAAGTGGTCCCATTTATTGATTCTGGGAAGTATTTCCCGTGCGGTTTGAGTCCTGTTCATGAATTCTTTACCTACTCCTATGTCTCCAAGGTTTCTACCTAATTTGTCTTCCAATAGATTTAGTGTTTCTGTTTTAATATTCAGATCTTTGACCCATTTAGATTTTAATTTAGTACATGGTGATAGACATGGGTCTAGCTTTAGTTTTCGGCAAATGGAGAGCCAGTTTTTCCAGCACCATTTATTAAAGAGACTGTCGTTCTTCCAGTGAACCTGCTTGGCTCCTTTATCAAAAATAAGGTGGTTGAGTGTGTTCGTAGTTGTGGTTGTATCTTCTAATCTATTCCACTGATCTTCGGCTCTGTTTTGATTCCAATACCATGTTGATTTTACTACTGTTGCTTTGTAGTATAACTTCAAGTCAGGGATTGTGATGCCTCCTGCTTTGTCTTTGCTGCTTAGAATTGCCTTTGCGATTCTAGGTCTCTTCTGGTTCCAGATGAAATTTAGGAGTGATTTCTCTAGATCTATAAGGTATGTTGATGGTATTTCTATTGGGATTGCATTGAATCTGTATAACAGTTTTGGGAGAATGGCCATTTTCACAATGTTTGTTCTTCCTATCCATGAGCAAGGGATGTCTTTCCATTTTCTGAGATCATCTTCAATTTCCTTTTTCAGTGTATTATAATTTTCACTGTATAAGTCTTTCACTTCTTTCATAAGAGTAATTCCTAAATATTTCATTTTTTTGCTTGCTAATGTGAATAGTCCAGTTTCTCTTATTTCCCTCTCTGTAATTTTGTTGTTCGTGTATAGGAATGCTATTGATTTCTGAGTATTGATTTTGTATCCAGCCACATTCCTGAATTTATTTATTGTATCTAAGAGTATTTCAATGGAGTTTAGGGGGTCTTCTATGTAGAGTATCATGTCATCTGCAAACAGTGATAATTTAACTTCTTCTTTTCCTATCTTTACCCCTTTTATTTCTCTTTCTTGCCTAATTGCTCTGGCTAGTACTTCCAGTACTATATTAAATAGGAATGGCGATAAAGGACATCCTTGTCTTGTACCCGATTTTAAAGTAAAGGCTTTTAATTTTTGGCCATTTAGTATGATGCTGGCTGTTGGTTTGTCATAAATGGCCTTTATTATATTGAGGTAAAGACCATTTATTCCAATTTTCTGTAAAGTTCTTATCATGAATAAGTGTTGGACCTTATCGAAGGCTTTTTCTGCATCTATAGAAATGATCATGTGATTCTTATTTTTGGCTTTATTGATATGGTGGATTACATTTATTGATTTGCGTATGTTGAACCATCCTTGCATTCCTGGGATGAATCCCACTTGGTCATGGTGTATAATCTTCTTGATGATTTGCTGGATCCTATTTGCCAATATTTTATTGAGGATTTTTGCATCTGTGTTCATTAGGGAGATCGGTCTATAGTTCTCTTTTATAGTTGGGTGTTTCTCAGGTTTTGGTACTAGAGTAATATTTGCTTCCAGGAATGACTTAGGAAGGATTGCTTCCCTTTCAATTTCATTGAATAGTTTGAGGAGTGTCGGCATTAGGTCTTCTTTATATTTCTTGTAGAATTCTGCAGTGAATCCATCTGGGCCTGGGCTCTTCTTGGTGGGCAAGGACCCAATTACATTTTCAATTTCATTTGCAGAGATTGGGTTATTCAACAGTTTTATATCCTCTTGATCTAGCTTTGGTACTTCATATGCTTCTAAGAATCTGTCTATTTCTTCTGTGTTATCAAACTTTTGAGAGTAGAGGTTTTCGAAATAGGTGTTGATGATCCTCTGTATTTCTATTGGGTCTGTAGTGATTTCTCCTTTTTCATTTCTTATTGCATGAATTTGAGCTTTTTCTTTCCTTTTTTTAATAAGGTTGGCTAGGGGCTTATCGATTTTATTTATTCTTTCAAAGAACCAACTCTTTGATTCGTTGATTCTTTGGATTGTTTTCTTAGTCTCTATTGCATTGATTTCTGCTCTGATTTTTATAATTTCCTCTCTTCTTTTGGCTTTGGGCTTGACTTGCTCTTCTTTTTCTAGCTGTTTGAGGTGTAGCATCAAGTTATTTATTTGTATTCGTTCTGTTTTCCTGATGTGGGAACTCAGTGCAATAAATTTTCCTCTCAGAACGGCTTTCATTGCATCCCACAGATTGCGGTAAGTTGTATCTGTATTTGTATTTGCTTGTAGGTATTGTTTAATTTCTTCTTTAATTTCTTCTGTGACCCACTGATTACTCAAGAGTGTGTTATTTAGTTTCCATGTGTTTGCGGAATTTTTGCAGTATCCTTTGTCATTAATTTCTAATTTCAGAGCGCTATGATCCGATAATATGCAAGGGATGATTTCAACTCTTTTGCATTTGCTTAAATATGTTCTGTGAGCTAATATATGGTCTATTTTAGAAAATGATCCATGTACTGCTGAGAAGAATGTGTATTCTGATGTTGTTGGGTGGAACATTCTGTATATGTCTATCAAACCCATTTGTTCACAGGTGTGATTCAGTTCTGTTATTTCTTTGCTCATTTTCTGTCTGGTTGATCTGTCCCTTGGTGTCAGTGGTGTATTAAGGTCTCCTGTTACAATTGTGTTACTGATAATTTGAGTTTTCATTTCTGTTAATAATTGTTTTATATAACTGGGTGCTCTGGAGTTTGGTGCGTATATATTTAAGATAGTTATCTCTTCCTCTTGGAGTTTTCCCCTTACGAGTATGTAGTGACCTTCTTTGTCCTTTATGGTCATTGTTGGTTTAAAGTTCACGTTGTCTGCAAACAGAATGGCTACTCCTGCCTTTTTTTGGATTCCTGCTGCATGAAGAATTGTTTTCCATCCTTTGACTTTCAGTCTGTGAGTATCTTTCTGGGTTAGATGGGTTTCCTGTAAACAGCATATGGTTGGATTTTGTTTCTTGATCCATTCTGCTAGTCTGTTTCTTTTGATTGGTGCATTGAGACCATTTACATTAATGGTTATTACTGTTAAATGCTGGTTAATTGTAGGAATGTTATCTCTCTGCTGTTGCATCTTTATCTTTCTGTTCTGTTTAATTATTTGCTTTGCTTAGTGCTTTTTTCCTTTGTGTATCTAAACTGTCTTTCAATATTTTTTGCAGGGTTGGTTTGGTGTTCATGAAGTTCTTCAGCTGTTCTTTGTCATGGAAGTATCGTATTGCACCATCTATTTTGAATGATAGTTTTGCAGGATATATCAGTCTTGGTTGGAAATCATTTTGCTTTAGGATCTGGAATACTTCACTCCATGCTCTTCTTGACTTTATCGTTTGTGCTGAGAAGTCTGCTGTGATTCTGATAGGTTTTCCTTTATAAGTGATCTGTCTTTTCTCTCTGACAGCTTTTAATAATCTATTCTTGTGTTGGATTTCTGGGATGGTGATTATTATATGTCTGGGTGTAGTTTTATTTTGGTTATGACTGTTTGGAGTTCTATATGCTTCACTGATCCTGATGTCAGTTTCTGATCTCATGCTTGGGAAATTTTCAGCTATTACTTCTCTAAATATCCTCCTGACATCCTTCATGTTGTCTCCCTCTCTTTCATTAATCCCTATCATTCTTATGTTATTCTTCTTTGCATCGTCTTGCAGTTGTTGAATTGTTGTTTCCTGATTCCTTGTTATTTTCAAAAGATCTTTCCTTTCCTGTTCACTAGCTGCAATCCTGTCTTCAAGGTCTGAAATTCTATCTTCACTTTCATTAAGGCGGTTTTTACAACTTTCAGTGGAGTTTTTTATTTCCTGTATATCTCTGTGCATCTGCATTATGTATTCTGTTTGTTTCTTATATTGCTCGTCTAGGGATTCTATCTTTTTGTTTAGTTCCTCCAATTTTTTAACTGTGTTTTCTTTAGATATATTTAGAATCTCTTTCATTTCTTTTATCATTTCTTCTTTTATCTGGGAGATTATTTCGAGTTTGAATTTCTTTAAAGCTTCCTGGAGTTGCTTGTCAATTTCAGTGGCTATTGTGTCCGATATATGAGGTGGATGGGATATATTTTCTTCTATATACATCGCTCCTAGGGTTTCTTGAGATGGGCTGGAGGTTTGAGGTTGTAATTTGGTCTTTCGTTTTGTCATTTTCCTATATTTCTGTGTTTCAAGTGTTATTTGAAAGCTTCCTCAGGATCTGTTGAAAATCCCCTTCTATGTTTGGAGCTACTGAGACTCTGGCGCCGCGCTACCCCAAGCCATTGGGCCTACAGAACCAGTGGCCCTCCTCTGCCTGCTCAGAACTCCGCAGTTCCAGACAAGCTGGGCCTCAGGGACACTGTGCGCCCACCTGCCCCTTGGAAGCTCCACAGTTCTTCAATCGCAGCCGGGTTAGGGTACTCACCACAGGCCGCAGTGCTTCAGGAACCTGTGGACCCTCCCTGGTTGCAGAGATATCCACAGTCCTCCAGACACATGGAGAGGCCGATGCAGGCACCACAAATATGCCCAGCTCCCCCTCTGCAGTCCAATGGCCAGGCGCGGCAGCTAAACAGGCTGGGCTAGGCTGATAGTGTGGGCCCGCCCACCCGTCGGTAGCTTAGCAATTCTCCAAGTGTAACTGGAATGGGGAGGCTGATGTGGAAGCCTCAAACCCACCTTTCCCCTTCACTGCACCTGGAAGCCTGGGGGAACTCCAGCAGTCTGGGCACAGATATCCAGAGTCCTCCAGACACTCAGAGAGGCCGCTGAGGGCACCCCAGATCTGCCCAGCTCCTCCTCTGCAGACCTATGGCCAGGCGCGGCAGCTAAACAGGCTGGGCTAGGCTGGTAGTGTGGGCCAGCCCACCTATCGGGAGCTGAGCAGGTCTCCAAGTGAAACCGGAATGGGGAGGCTGATGTGGAAGCCTCAAACCCACCTCTCTCCTTCACTGCACCTGGAAGCCTGGGGGAACTCCAGCAGTCTGGGCGCAGATATCCAGAGTCCTCCAGACACGCAGAGAGGCCGGTGAGGGCACCCCAGATCTGCCCAGCTCCTCCTCTGCAGACCTATGGCCAGGCGCGGCAGCTAAACAGGCTGGGCTAGGCTGGTAGTGTGGGCCAGCCCACCTATCGGGAGCTGAGCAGGTCTCCAAGTGAAGCCGGAATGGGGAGGCTGATGTGGAAGCCTCAAACCCACCTCTCTCCTTCCCTGCACCTGGAAGCCTGGGGGAACTCCAGCAGTCTGGGCGCAGATATCCAGAGTCCTCCAGACACGCAGAGAGGCCGGTGAGGGCACCCCAGATCTGCCCAGCTCCTCCTCTGCAGACCTGTCTACTGTGTTGTTATTTAAACATCCACTTTATTGTTCCTCATTTCCAAGTGTAGCTTGCAATCAGCTTACCAAAATAAAGTCTTTTCATGGTAGAGAAGTGTGTTGTGGGCAGATACATAGCTAAGAATCAGCTTAGGTAATATAAAGCATCTCTTTCATCGGTGCCTTTATGCATAATTTTATGGTGTCTTCAACCCCTGCTCTAGTATAAACTTTTTGAATTGAAAAAAGATTCCAGTGCTCGCTTCGGCAGCATGTATACTAAAATTGGAATGATAAGAGAAAACAGCATGGCCCTTCTGCAAGGATGTCACGCAAATTCGTGACATGTTAAAAAAAAAAAGATCTCAAGAGTTTCAGCTGATTTTTTTTCTTTCTTTTTCCTTATCTTTCCCTTTCTTTTCCTCCCTCCTACCCTCTTTCTGTTTCCCTCCTTTCCTCTCCTCGTTCTCCATCCTCTCCAGGTGGGATCACTTTGGAGAATTGGAAAGGTAGATGGTGAGGAAAAAAGAGAGTGAGGAACAAAGGGGCAGGGAGCTCTACTCTGTGCTCCTGGCTCACCTCCTGTATTCCTGCCTGGCCGATCGTGGGCCTGGGTGTCTTCTTAATACAATAAGGTGTTTCACAGATAGGGATCGTAGTTAATTGGAATTAGAAGTGAGAAGAAATTTATTTGCCATTCATATCCTAGAGGCAGAAATTTTTAAAAAGGGCTAATTATGCTTTATTGGAACTATACAGATAAAAACATTTTTTAATGCTGTCAAGTTGTAACCGAGTCAGCAGGGTAGAAAGTAGTACATTTCAAGGGGAAAATTCCATTTTGTTAATAAGGTAAAGAATTTGAAGCTGTGAAGTTTGTCTCAGGAAAGCAGGCAAAAAGCAGAAGAAATATACAGGCAACTGGTCATGCTCATTGCAGGAATGAGCTCACGTGTTGCAAAGGGCCGGCATAATACAGCCTTGCTCAGAAAATACTGCTGGCACATGGAGCAGGAGCGACAGATGTACCCATTTTCAGGTGTTTCTCATCTGGAGCCAAGACGTTTTATAAAATAGTTAACACATTGAATTCTTTTAACTCTGGTTATTATGTAAAATATTCACTTGCTTTGCAAGCAAACGTTAGTCATGAAGTTATGTTGAGCATTATGTATTAGATTGATAGCTGTTAGAGGCAGAGTATGATTGGTGGGAAGTTTGGGACTAGGAAGTAGCTGAAATCGCGTAAGTTGAAGAGCTAATTTTTCTAGTACCCAGAAGAGATGCTCTTGTTTGTTTTAAAATGGGAAAGAGAATTCATAACCATATGAAAAATACAAAAATTGCTTTCATTTTGGGGGCTATGAGGTTAGGGTTATTGGTTGCTTAATGTAGTTTTTAACTTCTGAGAGCTAGCTAATTGGAAGCTTGGTTTCTGTTTGTTTATTTTTGAGACAGTGTCTTGCCATGTAGTTCAGGCTGACCTTGAACTCACTGCATAGCCTCAAACTCAGTGATTTTTCTGCCTCAGCCTCCCAAGTGCTGGGATTACAGGTGTGTGCCACCCTGCCCAGTGGAAGTTTGGTTTTTATAATACACACTATTTTTTTTTTTTTTTTTTGTGGTACTGGGGATCCAACTCACGACTTCATGCTTGCTAGGCAGGTGCTTATGCCACTGAGCTAAATCCCTGGCCCCAATATACACTATTTAAGAAGTGAAATTCTTTCAAAGTAAAATTAGTTGAAGAATGGAGTTACTCCTGAAATTTTTCAGAAAAATTGGTAGTTTAGGATGGTGAATGGAATTCTTGGTTGTATTTTACTTAATTTTGTGTCAGACTTATTTGTGAATATATCACTTAGGCTAAGTGATCATTTATATTAATGTTCAAGCTGTCCTGATATTTTACTATGTCCAATATTTTTGATTTATCTGACTTAGGAAAGGGAATTCCTGAAGAATTATGTTCAACGAATAGTTGATGTTCGACCCACATTGGTTCTGGTTGAGAAAACAGTGTCTCGGATTGCCCAGGATATGTTGCTGGAGCATGGCATCACGTTGGTCATTAATGTGAAGTCCGTGAGTGTTCTTATTTGTGTATCACTTTAAAAAGCATAGCTTCTAGATTCAGGGCATATGCATATATGGTAGACACACAGGCATTTTTATTTCTCTGTGTATATATTTAAAGTGGGGCGAAAGGCGTGGTAGCTATTTTATTATCAAGACTGGAGAACCTCAGGTTGAGTCTCGAAAGTGTTGGATGCTTACATAATGCTTATTATAGCTGTCTGTAAGACTAATGCTGGGCTAGAGACTATGTAATCAGCAGGTGTTCGTTGGTTCTTTGTTTTGTTGAGGAATTTTACAAGCAGAAAAATTTTCTGCCCTTGAAAAGCCTGCTCTCTGTGGAATTAAGGCTAATTCTAGGAATTTTTCTTCCCATAGAATTTTGATAATACACGATGCTCAAATGACTTTTGGTAATATTAGTATGTCTATGGCTTTATTTTAGTGATCATGTATTGATACTGATTACTTAACTGTCAACTTATCTAAAAAGACTTAAAATTTATCATATAATTACTAAAGCTAAGAAAATCATTTATTTTATTTTGTCTTTACGTTTTTAGGTTAAATTTAGTAAGATTTTTATTTTGTAATTTATTTGCCTTTGCTGTAGCAAGTTTTAGAACGAATCAGTCGAATGACCCAAGGTGACTTAGTGATGTCCATGGACCAGCTGCTCACAAAACCACACCTGGGCACTTGTCACAAGTTTTATATGCAGATATTTCAGCTGCCAAATGGTGAGTATTCTTAGCATGGATTCATTTGCAATTGGGGAATCTTAGGAAGTGATGTAACATCTTAGTTCTGTAATGTTCGTTTAGGAGAAAATACCTGTGGGTCATTAAGTGAGGGTAGCAGCTGTGGTCTGACTCGCTCACCTTTTTTTTTTGGTAAATGCTCAGGCAGTGAATTAATTGTGTTTGCACTTCTGAATTGTTACCTAAGCCTTCTTGACTTCTTGTTTGTGTATTTGTAGAACAAACCAAAACGCTGATGTTTTTTGAAGGTTGTCCCCAGCACCTGGGCTGTACCATCAAGCTCAGAGGGGGCTCTGAGTATGAGCTGGCTCGAGTTAAGGAGATCCTGATATTCATGGTCTGCGTAGCTTACCATTCTCAGCTAGAGATCTCCTTCCTCATGGATGAGTTCGCTATGCCGCCCATGTTAATGCAGAGCCCCTCGTTCCATTCTCTGATTGAGGAACAGGGTGATGAGGGGACTGCACAGGAGCCGTGCAGCGGGAGCGCCCTTCCCCGGGATCCTGGCTGCCCTCCCGAGGTACTGCCCGCTGAAGAGAGCACTGCGCTGGAGTCACGGATTGTGTTTGAGAGGAGTGAGCAGGAAGGCAAAAGTGTCCCACAGACTGCTGCCTCTTCGAAGCTTCAGGAGTGTGCCACGGCGCCTTGCCCGGCGGGCATCCCCTGTGCACTCTTCCAGTCAGTCCCGGAGTCATTGCTGCCGCTCCACGTGGACCAGCAGGATACTGTAGGCGGTGAGCAGCTGGAGGAGCCTCTGAGGCAAGCAGAAGAGCACCAGGACCCGAAGAGCCAAATGAGAGCCTTTAGAGACCCTCTACAGGATGACACCGGATTGTACGTGACTGAGGAAGTCACTACCTCTGAAGATCAGCGAAAGACTTACGCTCTGACTTTTAAACAGGAATTGAAAGATGTGATCCTCTGCATCTCCCCCGTAATCACATTCCGGGAGCCTTTCCTCCTGACGGAAAGGGGGATGAGGTGCTCTACACGAGACTACTTTCCAGAGCAGATTTACTGGTCTCCCCTCCTTAACAAAGAGTTCAGAGAAATGGAGAGCAGGAGGAAGAAGCAGCTGCTTAGAGATCTCTCTGGGCTTCAGGGCATGAATGGAAGCATTCAGGCCAAGACTATTCAAGTCTTACCCTCACACGAGCTAGTTAGCACGAGGATCGCGGAGCATTTGGGGGACAGCCAGAGCCTGGGGAGAATGCTGGCTGATTATCGAGCCCGAGGCGGAAGAATTCAGTCTAGATATTCTGATCCGTTTACTCACTCAAAGGATGCCCTGAGTACTGCAAGTGGCAGAGCGGGAAGCAGAACTGAGGCTGATGAAGAGAGGGGGCTGATTCCCAGCGAGGCCGTGTGGTCAGCAAAGGTGAGCCCAGGCCACTGCCCATTTCCATGTAAACCTGGAGTGTTTGAAGGACTCCACTGCAGTGGTACAAAAGAAAAAAAAATCAGTATGCCAAGCTGCATGCACACTGATCAGATATTTCTTCTTCTTGGCCATGTTTTTGGTCTTGAGTCTCCTGGCTTATATATTTGACTACTTCAAATAGAGTTGTGAAGTAATGAACCTGGGTTTTGGGGTTTAAGACAAACTCACAGTGAGGTAGGAGCCCTTCTGTCAGAGGAAGTGATTGCCGTCCCCACTGGAATGGTTAGATGTCTAGGTGTACCTCGTTCCTTTTGAAGGCAGTGACACGAAGTGAGAGATGGAAGCTTATCGTAGGACATGGATGTAGCTTTAAAAAAAGTTGGAGTTTTTTTTTTACTAAACTTTCAAACATATAACAAAATTGCTTGTGGACATTGTTATTTAACCATAGCAATGGTCTTGTTAGCAGTAAGGGTACTTTGTCGGGCGTGGTGGTGCACGCCTGTTATATCCCAGCCCTTCAGGAGGCTGAGGTAGGAGGATCACTGAGAGTTTGAGTCTATCCTGGGATACAATAGTGAGTTCAAGGTCAGCCTGGACTACATAATGAGACCCTGTCTCAAAAAAAAAAAAAAATAAAAGTACCTAAGGAGGATTTATTTATGGACACATTATTGATAGTATACTAACAAAACTAATGGAGAAATCTATCTCTATCTTTAAATGAGGAAATATAATTGTCTAATAAAACAAAAAGGCATTCATTTTCACTACCCAAAGAAATACATTTTTTTTAATTTGTAAGACCGGCATAAAGGAAAGTGATAAGAGAGCCACAGTTCATGAGGGTGTGGAAAAACGTCTTTTTAAGTTTTACATACATTTGTATAAATTTATAGAAAGTGATAGTGAAATCTCTTGATTTGCACATATATTGTTATGCCTTTGACCCAGAACTGCTAGTCTTTGAATGTATTCCTATAGAATTAAATGAATTAGACACGTTTGCACTTTGTAGGAATGCATGTGTGAAGATATATTATGTTCAGTTTGCTTCAGAAACCGACTTCCTTGTTTATATTTAGTTTGTTGTAGTCTTCATCATCACCAGAAGCCCTGCAAGTGACAATAGGAGTCTGTGCCAATAGAGAGGACCGGGTGGGTATTAGGAGCCTGCAGCGGTGCCGTGGCGCAGTGCTGTCTCGGTGCTCACGTGTCCCTTCTCCGCAGGTGGACTGCCTGAACCCCACTAACCACCAGAGGCTGTGCGTGCTCTTCAGCAGCTCTTCCGCCCAGTCCAGCAACGCCCCCAGTGCCTGTGTCAGTCCCTGGTAGGATTCTCCTCTCCCTACTCTGTTGCGCTTGTGAATTTAGGCAAAGAAAGGAAACACAGTTCTTAGGGTCTGTTTTTAGATACAGGGCATACTACTGGCTGTGTATGAATTGATAGAATTTTAAACATAGAAGGTTAAAAAAAAAAACATAGAAGGTAAATATGAAACTTATGCTTTAAGGGTGAAAATACTAGGAGGGAGAGCGTAGGAATTCATACTTACGAAAAGGATGCAGTGGGGCTCACGAGACACCCCATCAGAAATGGGGTGAGTGGGGCTGGGGTATAAAACAGAAATCCTGAACACAAGAAGGCAGCTTGAAGGAGAAGCCACCTGATGAATTCCAGTGCCAGGAGAGTTTAGAGACTGAATCAGAGCCACCCTTGATCCTGGCACAGCCCATGTCTGGTGGACACACATCTGGAGGAGTCTAATGTCACAAAGGAATTAGTGAGCACAGCAGGGGCTCCCAGGCTCTTGCAGTTAGTGCCCAGCCTGGCACACAGGCAGATCTGTTGCCCAGTGCAGTAAAACCCTGCTTGCAGAGACAACCCGTGGCCCCTTCAGCTATCTGATTTTTGACAAAAGATGCTGAAAACTTGTTGACAAAAGATAGCCTCTTTAACAAGTGCTGCTAGGAAACTGTTTCTCCATGTGCAGAAGAATGACTAGATGCATCTCTTTCCTCCTTTACTACAATGAAATAAAAATGGACCAAACGGCTAGAAAGAGCAACACAAATTACATCTGGAAAATGAAATAGGTAGAACTCTTGAAGACGTAGGCATACACAAGGACTTTCTCAACAGAGTCCCAATAGCACAAGAAATAATAGCAAGGATCAACAAAAGGGATTATAACCAGCAGAGTGAAGAGACAGACTACACAATGGGCATTTTTTTTTTGGTCAGCTACTCCTTGAACAGAAGGTTAGTGCTTCGAATACATGAAGAACTAAAAAAAAAAAAAAAAAAAAAAAAAAAAAAAAAAAAAAAAAAAAAAAAATCAGATGCTCTGCAGAAGAAAAGACCCAATAAAACATGGGCAATTTACATGAATAGACACTTCTCACTAGAAGTTCAGATTACCAGTAAGTAATTTAAGTTTAAGTAATTTAAACATGTTCAGCATCTTTTCCAGTTTAAGAACTGAGATTCAGTCTTACTCCAGTAAGAGTGGCTGTCATTAAGGACTCATAGAACAGGTGCTGAGAAGGCTGGGGGTGGGGGTGGGGAATCCTTTACATTGTTGGTTGGAATGAAAACTATAACCACTGTGGGAATTAATAGGATGATTCCTCAGAAAACCCAAACTAGGGCTGGGATGTAGCTCAGCAGCACAGCGCCTGCCTGGCAAGGGCGAGGCCCTGGAGTTGATTCCTGGTACCGAAACCAACCAACAACCAACTAAACAAAACCTCCAGAAATAGAAATTCCATTTGACTTAGCTACTATGCCTTTTCTGAGTATTTTCTAAAGAATTAAAGTCTTCAGGTTCCCATTATGCATGCATACTTATGTTTAAGCAGCAAAATTCATAATAGCTAAATTATTGAAGTGCTGAATTGGGATAAAGAATGGATAAAGGAAATGTGTGTCATTTGTAAAAATGATGGACCTTGGGACTGTAATACATAGCACAGGAATCTGACACAGAAGGTTAAGTATCACTTATGTTCTCTCTGAGAAGTATAGAATAAATAGCCAAATGAAAGAGATTTTAAGAAACAGGGAGGTTGACTGAGTGTGAGGAGGGTCTGGAGAAAGGATGAGAGAGGGAAGGGGGAGTAAAAATGATCAAGATGGGATACAAATAGGTACCACTTCCCAAGATTGTAATTGTGTCTCACCTACGTATGCTGATAACTATGATAAAATTGACAAAAGAGAAGCTGGTTTATAAGTAGTATGGTCGTAGCATGTGCAGTTTAGCCAGGTTTTCCTTAAGGCTTGATTTTTATAAAAACAGTCAGCTTTTTACCTATTGCGTTCGATGCTGGGGATGGAACCATTGCTCAGCTAAGCACAGGCTTCACTTATGAGCTCCACCCTAGTCCAGCCTTTTGCCTTAAGTAACTATAATTTTTTTACTGCTTAACAGTGTACCCCAGCATCGACTCAGGCAGTGCGTCAGTTTATGTACTGACTACCCCACGCAGCGCTCCGGCAGCTGTCATTTCAGCCATTGGGTTCTATCTATTGAGTAAATTTGATAAAATTATCATTTTTATGTTTCCTGTCATATTAGCTTATAAACATTCAAAAATACACATTTTGGTCATCCTGTATTTAAATAATTGGACTGGAGAGTGGTTAATTTGATCAGTATAAATACAGATGCATTTTATAATGTTATAAATTACTGTTTCAAGTGGTACTCACAAAAGTCTGAGGTTGCTTTGCATTCTTATGTAATTTACCTTAAGACAGCACAGTTGAGAGGCTGGGGCATAACTTGGTTCTGGAGTGTGTGCCTAGTGAGTTCAGTCTCTAGCATCACACGGACATACATGGTGTAAGCACAGTCACACTTTGTGTACTGCTGTTTCCATGACAACACTATTTTCAGCAGTAAGACCAGAGATTCTTAGACATTACATAGGTAAGCAAGTAGGCCTGGGGCTGGGAAGCCCATGCAGATTTTCTCTGGGAATTTGTGAACTCAGGACAAAGCTTGAGTAGATGTGCGTTTCAAGGTGTATGTAACCAAACTTTCTTACTTTTGGGTAGTTGTAAGTTAGGTGCAAAATTAGGAATTCTCTCATTAGCAAGAATAGTAGTGACTTTTCTCTATCCCCAGTAGAGGTCTGGGCTAACTACAGAAGTCCATTTATATGATGGCGGGCTTATGGCTTTCTGAGGGGACTTGTGCTTATTCATAATGCAATTGAGCTATACTCTGTCAATATTATAGTGTATGCATCCTCATCAAATAGATCATAAGATGCTAATGGCTTGGGAGAGAAAGAGATGCCATAGTGTAGCTGATCTGAACTTGCTTTACAAGATGGTGGATACCAAACCGATTCTTTAAGAACAAACACATTGTACATGCTTCGGAGGTTCATGATTAGCACATTTAATAACTAGAATGTGTAATCTCCTGGTTTTTTTTTTTTTTGCTGAGTGGTAATTCTTGCAGTTTTTAAGTAGTGATCTCTTCTTTTAGGATTGTAACTATGGAATTTTATGGAAAGAATGATCTCACATTAGGAATATTTTTAGAAAGATACTGTTTCAGGTAAGAATTAATTTTCTCCTTATATTCCATTATGAATTTTTGAAACCTAGCATGTAAACATCAGTTGGATGTTAGATATGGTTGTGTGGTTCTTACTTTCATGTCATGTATCAGAATATACTTTACAAAGATGTAATCTATTTCATGCTCAAACTGGGATGTTTAATCTGTTGTATTCTTCATATATTTGCTTACTTACCTGTCACCTCTAAGACTATTTCAGGGTGTTATTTTTAGAGTGATTTAAATCCACTAGACTTTTGTTTAAGTCTAGTGCTGTTGCTCACATGACAGAGAGCAAGTGATTTAATCTTTTTATCACTCTCCTTAAATAGATGATAACAATTCTAAAAAGGTTTTAGTGAGTAAAATGACATGTTTTAAAATCACTTGGCAGTGGAAGGCACTTCACAGCTGGAAGTGATCATCGTACTGTAGCTGGAGATGGAAGTCAGGGCTGCAGAAATCTCAGTGCAGACTGTCTACCAGTCATCATTGTGCTTCTTTGACAGTGGTTCTGGTTAGCCCAGGGGTATCTCAGTTCCCAAACTCAGTTCTCTCCCTAAACTGGTTACAAACCGAACTGGATGAGATAAATCAAATTTCCCTGTGAGGTCCGTGTCGAATCTAACTGATTAAATTTGATTTGATTCTTGTTCGGTTTGGTTTGTGATCAGAATTGTGGAAAGAATCAAGCTCGTGAGCCAAGGTACCACTGTGTTTGTTCTTCATGCTTGCCTGCTTCATACTCAATGTGAGCAGAGCTCTCTTGTTCGTCACAGGCCTTCTTATCAGTGTCCTAGCATGTTCTGCGATACCCCCATGGTGCACCACATTCGTCGCTTTGTCCACGGCCAAGGCTGTGTGCAGATAATTCTGAAGGAGTTGGATTCTCCAGTACCTGGATATCAGCATACTATTCTCACATATTCCTGGTGCAGAATCTGCAAACAGGTAAATTAAAACTTGTAACAGGGCATAATGTTTCTAATGAAATTTATTTCTTTATTTGTGGAGCTCTTTTTTTGGGGGGGGGTGGATAGCCCATATTCTTTTGGAATGTCTTATTTATCAGTGTGTTTTTTTTTATCTTCTCTTCCTATATTGTATGTCCAGTCTAAAAATTTTTGATAATTTCACTTTAGGACTGTTATCAGCCATGAAATAAGTACAGGAACCTCGTTTGGTACAATATGTTGAGACTGACACAATTCTCAATTATGTTTCTTTATTCATTTAGTGAATATGTAGTTTATTTAGCTCTGAGTGCTGGCTACTGTGCTAGGTCCTAGGAATAACAAAAGATGAAGACTGGCTTCTGTCCCTTATGGGAGGAGACATACTTACAAAGCAATAATTACGGTGTATTAGGGTATTTTCTTAGTAGATGTGAGCCTGTATTCATATTTCTATCTGAAGAGATATAGCTGTATTAAGTTTGGATTAGAAAATACATTTAAAAATGGTATATGATTTTAAGTTTGGACTAGAAAATACATTTTAAAATGGTATGTGATTAGATAAATTACTTTTGTTAAATTTTAGGTAACACCTGTTGTTGCTCTTTCCAATGAATCTTGGTCTATGTCATTTGCAAAGTACCTTGAACTGAGGTTCTATGGGCATCAGTATACACGGAGAGCCAATGCTGAGCCATGTGGTCACTCCATCCACCATGATTATCACCAGTATTTCTCCTATAACCAGATGGTAGCGTCTTTCAGGTAAGACACCAAAGGGATCCTGTACTTGGAGGCTTTGTAAATATTTACTGCAGTTAAGTCAAATTCACTTGTGAGGCATCTATCCCATCTCACTCCTGCAAATGTGCAAGGGCAGAAGCTACTGAGAGCTTTCAGTGTTATCTTTTAGGCCATGCTCTCAGAAATAGGCTTACTGTTACTCTTACTTAGAGACTTCATAGGCTTTCTAAGTGCGAGTAAAATATTGTGAGTTTCCTTAGAGGGGTAGCTAGTCGTGGAGTCACAATTTGAACCCTGGTTGATCTTCTGTTCTTGGCCTCAAAAACCTGTCAGAATTTTTTGTAAAAGCATTAATTGCCATAAAAATGATCAAATACTTATGATTGAATTACACGTTCAAAGAAGAAGTCACCACCGTGGTATAACATAATTTGAGCGTGCTCCAGATTCTGCCTTTAGACCGTGTGTGGAATTGGAACACTTCTCACGGCCCCCAGCATGAGTGTGGTGGGCTCAGCCTCTGTTGTATTCCCTGTGTCGCTGCAGTAGTCTCTGCCAGTCCCCTTTCGGCCTTGCCTCTGCTACCTGTGCTCAGCACAGCAGTCAGAGTGAACCTGTGTGAGGAAAACCAGCTTAGGTCACCGTGTGTCCGAGGACGCTCCGAGGGTGTCCGCTTGTCACCGAGTGAGAGCTGGAGCCCTTTTCCTGACCTCCAAGCGCCCACACGATAGGGCTGCCCCCCGGGCCTTGCCGTTCTCCTCTCCCACTGCCCTCCTTTGGTTCGCCCTGCTGCCGCCTTGCTGCCCCTCAGCGGGCCTCAGCTGTCAGGCAGGTTCCTGCCGGGAGCCCTCTGTTTTCCTCCCGACTGCTCGTTGCCTGCTCTTGTGGGTCTTTGTCCACGTTTTACGTGGCCCAGCACTCTCTTAGGCCTAGCCCTACTTCTCTTTCTTGCTTCATTTTTCTCTGTCGCACTTAGACCATCTGAAATATGTTTTAAATATGAATTTGTTTTGTTGCCCAATATTATTATTCCTGAATCCTGAGGACAGGAATTTTGGCCCTTGTTTTAGTGCTGTAATCTGGTGCATAGTAGACATTCAGGAAATATTTGCTAATTAGAACTTATTTCCTTAATAACTTTTCAGAACCTAGGGCATAGATGGGATATAGCATTGACTAGTTATACCTCAGGTGGAAAGGAAGTAAAAACATACGAGGACTCCTCAGGGCCTGGTAAGGTAACAGATTTCTATGTGTAAGCTAATTGTAGGAAGGCATCCCTTTCCTCACTCAGAAAGTTTATTCAGTGCCATCTTTATTTTTATGGCAGATGAGGATAGCGTTAAAAGGATACATGATGGCATCATAGTGCTGAGATAACATGAAGTCCCTCCAGAATTGGAGAAGATACTTAAAATGAGTGAAATTACCTTCAGTATTCTTAGTATTCTTTTAAAGTGCCATAAAATTTGTGAAAACTTTTTTTACTTATGCCTTATAGGATAGTTGACCATCCAAATGTAGCTCTACTCAGGGTTTTAAAATAGTTTTTCATTTTTCTACTGTTACTTGTATTTTCTTCTCTTAGTTATTCTCCCATTCGGCTTCTTGAAGTATGTGTTCCACTTCCCAAAATATTCATTAAACGTCAGACCCCACTGAAAGTATCCCTTCTTCAAGATCTCAAAGATTTCTTTCAAAAGTAAGTTTCAGTTTCTTTGAACATCTGTTTTTGTTTAGTAATGATTATAATCTGTAGATGTTTTAAAATGGCATTTATTTAAGTTTCTTTGAAAAGGTAAGTAGCTTAGTTTTAGCGCATAGATGCTTTGTGTGAAAAAAGAAAAATGCAGACGGTATAGGAAAGTATTAAGGTCAAACTTTCAGACATAACAAAGCACCATTAAAATTTTGAAGTATGCAACATTCTATGTGATTTTTAATTGGAATAGATTTCAGTTACATATAATATATAATTTTATATATTAGAAAATTTGATTTCACCTTCTCTAAAGATGCTCTCTCCTTTCTTAGAGTTTCACAGGTATATTTAGCCGTTGATGAAAGACTGGCATCTCTGAAGACCGATACATTTAGCAGAACAAGAGAGGAGAAAATGGAAGATATCTTTGCACAGAAAGAGGTAACTCATTTCTTTGGCAGAAGTTCTAAAGTTAACTATTAGCTTAGAAGTTTCTTTCTGGGATATCTATATACTGTCTTAGTGTGCTGAAATGACCTCTTTTGCCTTACAGATGGAAGAAGTTGAGTTCAAGAGCTGGATTGAAAAGATGCAAGCAAGGCTCATGTCGTGCTCTGTGGATGCCCCTCAGCAACTGCAGTCCGTCTTTGAGTCACTCATTGCCAAGAAACAAAGTCTTTGTGAAGTGCTGCAAGCTTGGAATAACAGGTAGGACTTCGCAGTTTGCTTTTCTTACTTTAGGGCCAATTTTGCTGTGCTCTGATTTGATTAAATCTAAAAATTATTATTAATTGTAGAGTTTTCATTTTATTCTTAAGTTATGCAGAAGGTTTTTTTTTAATCATTTTCCTTTTCATCCTCTAAAATATATGTGCTAATCTTTCGATTGTGAAGCTATAAAAGACAAAATGGGAACAGCCTTCAGTGCTGTATCAAATGTATGTGCTGCTGAATGGAATTTAACTGAATTATTAGGCCATAACTGATAATTGCTTTGGTTAGGCAAGAATTTTGTTTATCTTATGTTAAAATTTAGATACGTATTTTTAGAAATAGTTTTCTTGATGATAATTTGCTATTCTTTCTTTTGTTTTGGTACTGAGGCTCAAACTCATGACCTTGTGCTTGCCAGGTCGGTGCTTATGCTGCTAAACTAAATCCCCAGCCTCATAACTTGCTATCCTTTTAAAATTATAGTCTATCAGTGAGAACTCTGGATTGGTTCTAGATATGACAAGAACTTGGTTCTAATTATGTACAACTTTAAAATGTATCCAAGTAGGAGAATTTAATTATGGTGATTTCAGTTTATAAAGAGAACATTTATATACATTGTAGGCCTTTGGTTGTAGGTTGCAGGAACTATTCCAGCAGGAAAAAGGCAAAAAGCGGCCTTCAGTTCCTCCAAGTCCAGGAAGAGTGAGACAAGGAGAAGAAAGCAAGGTAATAAAATGTATGGTCTTTGGCATTTCATTGATAGAAACTTACTAGTAGTAGTTTAATAGGTAATTTATTAATATCAAGTAGGGCTTTCCATCTTGAAATTGTGAGATTTCAAGGGGCTATGACTTGGATTACTTTAATATGCTAGCCTGAAATGAATGACATGTTAGATCAGTTCATTTGAAATGTTGGGGGCTGGGGATTTAGCTCAGCAGCATAAGCGCCTGCCTTGCAAGCAGGCAGTCGTGAGTTCGATCCCTGGTACTGATAAAAATGAAAAAGACAAAAAAAAAAGAAATGTCATGCAGCTGCTACCCCAGCGTCAGTAAAGGTACTGTCACAGTGATGCCGAGATCTCGTGCTCAGCGTGTGCAGCAGAGGCCTCATGTATGTTACTGTGCAGTTCTAAGTCATCTTTATCTTAAATGAGAAGCTCTTGCTCAGGTGCCTGGCCAGGGAAGTTGGCCTAATTGATCTTTTCCAGCTGTATTAGTTTTTTCTTGCTGAGTGGCAGATTGGTCTCACACAGTGTCCAAAAGCATGAAGCTGTTATTCCAGAGTTTCTGCGAGCTGGAGACCTGACACGTATGGCTTGGTTCTCTGCTCAGAATGCATCAGAGCTGGACTCAAGGATTGCACCTGGATTTCTGATTTATTGGAGCTTCAAGGTCTTCTTCCAAGGTTATTGGCAGAATTCGCTTTCTACTAGTGACAGACTGACTTCTTGTGTTGGTGGCCATAGACCTGAGGTTTTTCCATAACTCCTGAGACACTGTTTGTGTTCCTTGCCATGTAGTCCTCTCTATCTTCAAAGCCTGAAACAACGGCCAAGTTCCTCTTACGAAGATCACTTACCCCACTGTGTAGAGACGCAGATTGCAGGACACATTATGCTTACATCAGGACCATCTGGATTGTTCCCTGTTTTGAAGTCAACTGGCCTAGGACTATAATTACATCTACAAAACCCTTTACAGCAATACACAGCGGTATTAGTGTGTTTGAGTGGGAGAAGGTGTGTGTACACTATGCCTGGGAGTCCTGAGGCCATTTTAGAATGCTGTCGGGGTGACCAGATTTCTCAGTTTGATGTCAGTGTCAGGGTCTTGGGTTATATTACAAAGGCTTTGGAGACAGTGTTTTCTTTTTGTACAGTGTGTAGTATTTGTTGAGAAATATGTTCATTGGATGAGGAATCCAAGGGCTTTAGATGTTTTTGTTATTCAATAATTTATAATGAGTCCTTCCTTTTGTCTCTGTGTGAGAATCATGTTTCCTTAAAGTGTAGAAGAACAAGGTTAAGCTGTGTGTTAGTATTCCTCAACTAGTCCAAGTCTGCTGATGACTAGCACAGATTACTGGTGGTCTTTCTGTTTGCCCACTGAAGAGACTACAAAGCTAATAATATGAAACCCCTATATAAAAGCATTTAGAAACAGAATTGAAAATATAAAATGACTCAGCATTTGGTCATCTTTATGAAAGATTGATAATTGATTCGAAACTTCATTGTACTGCCTTTGTATTTATGTACTTGATTAGTATTTCTTGAGTGCTGATTTTGTGTCAGGTATTTCTCTCGATTATAAGCATGCAGTTGTAAACAAAGACCATAGCTACTGTTTTCATTAAACATTTGTTTAATGAGGAAGAGACTGATCATAAACATTTGAACCCATAGACATTTAACAAATATAATAAGGTATAAAGAAAAAAGAGAGATGGTTTTGATAAGAACGAGGGAGCGCTGGTGGGTTGCTTTATGTAGGGTGGCTGAGGATGTTTCTGTGATATGGTGACCTTTAAATAGTGACCTAAGGAATGACCTTGAAAAAAATTTTATATGGGACTAAGAGTCATTCTATACATCTTATGCATAGGTAATAGGACTTGAGTAGATTCAGTGATAGTAAAAGATTACTGCCCTCAATGGATAATCATGTGTATTCCTAAAATGCTTTAATGCCAAGAAATGAGCTTGCTGTGTAGAATGATACCCTCAAAATGTGGTTCAAGAACTCCTGAGAGCTCAGCGTTCTTTTGGAGATTCTGCAGATTGGTTTTCTTAACTGTATCTATATGAAACAGAACTTTAATCATAGCGATATCCTAGCAGATTAATAGCAGATACAGATTGCTAGCTATCATCTGTAACATTGAAGAATTGTAGAAAAATGCAAAAACAGTTTTACTCATTTTATTTTAGATTTTGGAAAGTAGATATAGTTTTCTATAATTGATTACATTATTCATGTTAAATAATGGGTTTTATTATTTTTAAATGAATAAGGGACTGAGAACATTTTTTCATGTTTAATGAGAAATATTTTAATGTTTAATTTCTAATCAGGTAAATATTTCTAATAAGTTAAAACTATTTTAAGTTATTAAGGGAGATGGTTATAATTTTTAAGAGTATAAACAGATCTTGGTACCAAAAGGTTTAACATTCACAGGACTATGCAATTTTAAAAATGTAATTTTAATATTTCCTTAATCTTATTTTTCCACAGATAAGTGGAATGGATGCGTCACCACGAAATGTTTCTCCAGGACTTCAAAATGGAGAAAAAGGTTGGTCGTTGACTCGGTTGATCATTTGACATTAGACTTAAAGAAAATTTTTACTGTATAAGTTGTTTTGAACTAATTTTGAGCATTCTTTTTCCTAATGACATTATTCATAGACTTTATTTTCCTCTTTCTAGAACATTTATAACCCTACCAGTTTATCATGCAGCAGCATTTAAAAGATAAATTAGGACATAGAAATACATACAACGAGGGCTGCTGATAGGGAAGAAAAACAGAACAAAATTAATTTTCTTTCTTATAAAATTGAGTCCCACGGTTCACTGCAGAAGTCTTATTTAATTTGTATTTTTGGTTTCACTAAAGTCATTTTGAGATGTCTTTTACAGTGTTTCATTGAACACCTTGTCATCATAGAAGCAGTACATAGAAAAATTTGTGTAGACTTGAGCAAGAGCTCAACTCGTAATTCTTGATATTTTTCTGTAATAATTATAATTTGTTTTTTTCCTCAGCATAAGATTGTCATTTTTTTCTGTAGTGTCCTAATTTCATTCTCTCTTAAACCGAGTAATATTGAGGTAGATTATGTGGATTAGTGAGAACAGTATTAGGTTAGCCTGTCAGAATTGGTTTATAGTCATGGTAGTGTCATTAGGATTTGATTGTGGTCATCTACTTCCCCTGGATTTTTGTGTCTGTTTCTGTGATATGAGCTATTGATGTACATGGTTTATATATAACTAAAATTCTGTGTTTTAGGAAGTAGACATGTGAGTTGGAATTTAAAAATCATTGATACTAGACAGAAACAGATTTACTGTTTTTACCTGACTCACATAAGTCTGTGCCTTTGTTAGAGGATCGCTTTTTGACAACGCTGTCCAGCCAGAGCTCCACCAGTTCTACCCATCTCCAGCTGCCGACCCCACCTGAAGTGATGGCTGAGCAACCAGGAGGAGGGCCTCCTGACCTGGACACAGCCAGTGGTTCTGAAGGTACAGTGCAGGTCGCTTTTATCATGCTTCATTAAATCTGGGACTTTTAAAATTTTTAGCTACTACATTGGTCTGATGGTATTCTTTGCAGTAATGTTTGCAGTACATAATGAATACATTATGGGAGTCAGCACATGTGCATAATACATCTTAATTCTTTTTATATCCCTCTCCTTTCTCCTTCTTCCTTCTAGTTTGCAAAAGATCATTCTCTCTGTTTTCTATTGTCTGTCTTTTATTTTGTTCTTTAATTTACATACATTTTGGATTTCTCATGTAAGAGGAGCCATGCAATATTTAAGCTTGTGTGTCTATTTCACTTATATTTTGGTTTCAAGGTGCATCATTTTCCTAAAAGTGATTCAGATGTATCCTTCTTTAGAGCAGAGCAGTACTCCATTGCATATAAATGCATTTTCTTTATCAGCTCATCTATTGATAGACATACAGGTTGCTTCTAAGAGTTAGCTGTTGTGAGTTGTGCTGTTGTAAACATGGGTGTGCATGTAATGTGATGTCTTTAACTCTTTCAGGCAGACACCTGAAAGGAATACCTGTGTCAAATGAGATTTCTAGTTTTAGTGTTTTGAAGAATCTCCCTGTTGTTTCTATAGTGGTTGTACTAGTTTGGATTTGCAGCAACAATGTGTTAGGATTTGTTTTTCCCTGCAGTCTCACTAGAGTTTGTGAGGATAATCATTTTTTCTGGAGTAAGATGGCACCTCAGTTTTGTTTTAATTTGCATTTTTGCAATGGCCAGAAGTGCTGATCACTTTTTCATGTATTATTGGCCATTTGTAGTCTTCTGAGAGGTGTCCCTTCACTTTCAGTTGCCCATGTTTTGATAAGTTTTCTATTTTGGGGAGTTCTGATTTTTTTGTTTTTAGTTATTTCTATATACTAGGTATTAGTTCTCTGTCTGATGGACAGCTGAATTTTTCTCCACTTGTAGGTTCTTGTAGGTTTTCTCTTTACTCGGTTGTTTGTTTCCTTTGCTGTGTGGAAACTTTATAGTTTGATATAATCCTGTTTGTTGCTTTTTGATATTCTTGTCTAGTTGTTCTAGTCAGAGAGTCCTCACCTGTCCCTGGGTCTTCAAGACTTTTACCTATTTTATCTTTGAGCAGACCATTTTTCTTTTGACAGTTCTTTGATACATGTTGATTTTAGTTTAATATACAGTGAGAGCCTATTTTTCCTCCAGTGCATGTTTTTGAGCCCTTTTTCAGAGATCAGATGGCTGAACATGCCTGGGGAGTTGTTTCTGCATCCTTTCTTCTGCTCCACTGATCTGTACATTTGTTTTTGTCCAGCATCATGCTATTTTTATCACAGTAGTTTTGTAATACAGCCTGAAGTCCAGTATTGTAATGCCTCTTGCTTTGCTCTTCTTGCTCAGGATTGCTTTTGCTAGTCTGGGTCTCTTCTGGTTCAGTACATGCTTGTTTTGATTGAGATTGTGTTTATTCCATGTGTCAGTTTTGGAAGCATGGCCATGGTTTTGGATGACTGACTGAGTAGTTTCTTCGAGGGTCTCCTTTACGGCATGCACCAGGTATGTGGGACCTAGGCCTGTTTTGCTTCCACACTCAGTTTTTTTGTGTATGAATGCTGCATCCTGCCTGCCTTTCTCTGGGCCTACTTGGTCAAGGGCTGTATCTGTTCCAGTTTCCATGTCCCTCTGAGTCTTCTCGGTGACGCTTTTCTCTGCTGGGTTATATCTATGGATTGGTGAGGTGCCCCCTGCTCCCGATTTCCTGTTTCCCTGCACACAGGCTGTGCCAGTCGTCCAGCCCAAGGTGCCTTCCTGATTATGGTGGCAGATGGGGAGAGCAAGCAGATCACTCTGGGTTCTGCGTTAGATGTAGGTAGTGGGGTGGGGGTGTCAAGCACTGTACTGAGCTCAGTACTGCACTTTTAGACCCAGCACCTCACATGGCTGACCTGGGTTCTCAGCTTGGAGAGCGGAACCCCTGTGTCCTTCCTGGCCTGAGTTTACATTTCTCTGGGAGGCTATGCCTAGCTGGCCGGCCCTCTGCATCTGTCTGTTGTGACCATCTTCCCTCCCGTCCTGAGGTGGAGCTAGCACAGAAATCCTGAGGTGTAGTTGTGCTGTCTCAGTCTTCCCTTTCCCAGTGTGACTCCTGATTGACACGTTCACGACAGTGCTGAGCAGCTCTGATTTGTGTGTCTTGTGGCTGGGCAGCTCTGATTTAATGTTATTAGAAAAAAGACTGACAGATGTTAACAGATCGGTTCGTACCATCTGTGGTGCGGGCTGCCTGATGGGACAGTCATGGGTTTAAACCAGTGGGAAGGGGAAGCTCTGTCAAATGTGGCAGATACTGTGCTGGATTCCTCACCAGTTCATGAGGCAGGAGTCACTTAAAGCCCCATGCTGATCCCCAGTCTGGGTTTCCTTGGGGCCGCTGCCGGCCCAGTCCATCGCTCTCCCTGGAGCTGTGACCGTCTGTGGGCTCACCTTGCGCTGGCAGCGTCGTCAGGTCCCCTTCCTGAGAGCTGGGGCCAGTTTTGTAGACTGCTTCTTTTTTTCCTTTGTGTTTTACTCCAGTTTTTCAGCTTCTTTCTAGTTTCTAGATTTTCTGATTCCCAGAGATCTACTACAGTTTTTTCTTCACCGAGTTGTTTTCCAGGTGTCTCAGTTCTAGGTCCTGGAGAGCTGTATTTTGCACCGTCTTTCCACTGCCGTTTTTTAGCCCCCTCCTTTTGGTGTTTGAGGCAGGGTCTTACTGTCTGGTTCAGGCTGCCCTGAAACTCACAGGCTGCTCTCAGACCCTTGACCCTCCCACCTTAGCTTCTCGAGCTCTTTGGTTTGTATGTGTTCTGAGAAAGAAACATGCTGCTATTTCCTTGACACAGTGCTTTCTTTAGGAATTCTTATTTTATGCTTAGTGATAATGCTTTTTAAAATGTGACTTTTTATTATATCAGTTCTTCCTTTAGTTGACTTGCCTGATTTCTTTCCAACAAAATGTCATTCAGCATCTGAACCTTCTGAGCCTCTTTATGTCCTTAAGTTTCATGAAGAATGAGGTGGTTACCTTGTAGCAAAATGAGAAACTGCTGCCATTTCTCCAGCAAAAATACTTATTTTTTAATAGCAAATTCATCCCTTTCTTTCTTTTCTTGCTAAGTAGTGACTAATTATTGCATAAACTTGACTGTAACATTATAGCTGTTAACTAAACTCAAGTATAGTAGTAGCCGCAGTTCATATGAGTGCACTGACGAGGCGGCGTGGGTAGCTATAATGAGGTTCATGCCGGTAGCTCCTTTGAGGCTGCTGCCTGCAATGATAGAAAACCACTGATTGTTGGATTATCTCTGTTTTAGAGTAGGTAAAATGTCAGGGAAAAAATGGTTTGTGGAGGCAGTGCTTGTGTGTTTCTTACTTTTGCTTTTTCATTTATTCTTTAAGCCATTTTTCTTAGATCAGAAATTTTAAACTGTGTTTGGTAGTTGTGATATGGATACATCTCTCTGTATTTCCAAAAACAAAGGGAAAATAAGTTGATAGTTTTGAATACTTTTTGTTCTTCCTAAGTATATAAATAGAATATTTTTCATCTTAGATGTGTTTGATGGACATTTGCTGGGATCCACAGACAGCCAGGTGAAAGAAAAGTCAACCATGAAAGCCATCTTCGCAAATTTGCTTCCAGGAAATAGCTATAATCCTATTCCATTTCCTTTGTAAGTATTATAAATACTAGTGACTATTACGTGGTTTTGTTTTTCCTTTAATTAAAAGAACTCTCCCTAGACTCTTTCCCTATATATTTCAGTGCATTTATTATGTACAACTATGTAATTTTCAATCCTAGATTTTATGTCATCATAGTAAGAGATGTTTTTTGACATGTAATTTGTAGAACATGTAATCATTATTAATATAGTAGTGAATGAAGAAAGCATTAAATGTTCAGTGTTTAAAATTATTTGTACTAAAAAAATTGCTTGCATAATACATATATAAATTTAGGTTGAAGATACAATGCTGTGCATATTGATCTCATGATCTTTAAAACATATTGGTATTTGTATATGAGGGTGAATTACTGGCCCAGTAATTCACTGGGCGCTGGCATCATTGTCACAGTAATGGCGAAGTACAATTACTCATGCAAGTTTTTATATGAACTTGTTTATGCTGGGCTCACCTAGGCCAGGAAAAAACATAAGCTAACTGTGAAAAGGTTGTTTGTCCTGTACTAGTTGAACTGTGTGGCTGTCAAATGCTGCTATTGTTGCAGTGGTACAAATTCATCCAAAAGGTAGATCTGTTTTAACAAGATTTTTTTTTCTCTCAACTATTTATAAGTTATTATTGTAAATAGTGTCTGTTCTAGTGTACCAAGGTGCAGAACAAGGCTCAAGGAAAAATCCTTGCTCTTGGAAGCTCGTAATTGTGGGGAGAAGACATGTGCATATTCATAGGACAGTGTGTGACATGTTACTTGGTGTTAGTTTATAAAGTGTCTCTGTTTTTTCTACTTTAGACCAGAAATCTAGGCCACCATGGTTGGGTTCTGGTGAAGGCCTTCTTTCAAGTTTTAGATTATAATTTTCTCTGTATCCTTACGTGATGGGAAGAGCTCAGTTGGATCTATTTTATAAGGGCACTAATCTCATTTATGAGGTCTCTACCCTCATGATCTAAATTATTTCCTAAGCACCCTACTTCCTAATACTATTACTTTGGAAAGTAGGTTTCAGCATATGATTTTGAGTGTGTGCATTGAGGGAAACATATTTTTCTCATAATTTTTTCATAGCATTTGTTACAGGAAATGATTATATTTATTAGTAGAATTATTTCTTTATACCACTATATTATAAATGCCTGTCATCTATGTGTGTGATGCTTATAACAGTTTTCTTCATTTCCTATTATATTCCTAGCACAATAAGGTACACCTAAAGTGAGTGAGGCCACTTACCAGTGCCCAGAGGAGGAAAAGTATAGATTAGGGAAGGAAAATTGGGATAAAATGGAATCACCATTGAGTTCCTGTGTGATAACAGTAAAATGTTTGTGTTGTGTTCTTCATTAGTGAATTATACTATGTCTCCATATTTTCTAGGAGACTTTTTCTAAATTTTATAGTTGAACAAAATATTTTAGATTTCCGTTTATGAAAATTCTTTTTGATGTTAATATGGCCAAAGCCTTGGCAGAATTGAATACTTTGTTTGGAGTGACTATTCCAGAACCTTCTGATTTGAAACCTAATTCTGATAATTTTTCAGTTGGCTTCAAAAACTTGCTATCTTTTTATGTGACTTGATGCATGTTCTCAGCCTTAGCATACATTTTAACATGCTTAGTTATATTCTTGTTGTACATTATTTAGTTAGATTAAAATTGTGGCAAGATTTACTTGCATTGGTTTTGTATTTGACCTACTTCTAATTTTATTCCTATTTACTTATTTATTTAAAAACTGTGAACAGTGACCCAGATAAGCACTATTTAATGTATGAACACGAGCGGGTGCCCATCGCTGTCTGTGAGAAGGAGCCCAGCTCCATCATTGCGTTTGCACTCAGGTATCGTTTGTGAGACTTTATGCACTGTGGTTTTAGCTGTGCTCTTTATGTGTGTCGGTTTATCACCTTGCTTTGGGGTTTTTCCACATGAAAGACAGTGATTTAAACATATATTCTTTAGGCTTCACCGTCTGTTGTCTGTGTACCTGGAAGCCTTCTCTTTACTCAGATAAGGGGGTGTGGCGTGACCCTCAGGCTCTCACACACTCACTAGGCGAGTTCCATACCACCCTTTGGATTCTCTGACCATTCATCTGTTTTCATTTGTGCCTTTGTATCCTTACTTTGATTTAGTTATTAACACAGCGCTGGAACATACCTGCCTTATGTTACTTGAGTGTCTTTTTTTTAATCACTGATTTCCTTCCTGCTTCCCACACACTGGGGAAAAATTTTCCTACTTAAGGAATGCTATCTCTATGGCTTACCGAGGATATGTTTGACTATTTAATTTGTCTAGTTGTCCTGTATATTTAATGAGGCATCATACTTTAAAATATTTTTAATATGTCTTCAGTTTTTAGTAAAATCTTGGCTGTATTTGAACTTAGTTTAAGTAAAATCTAATGTGTTTAAATTTTTTTCCAGTGTGAGACTAAGTTTAAGTTTTTCATTTTGAATATGCTGTAAAGTATCCATTTATTCAACAGATATTTGAAAAAAACACCCAAATATTTGAATGTCTATGAAATATGATATATTAGGTTTGAGATACACAAAGATAAAAAAGATAGAGTTGTATGTGTTTTTGGAGTTTAGGTTTTACTGTTTGCATGAGAGTATTTCCCTGTAGAAGATTCCCTATAATTTAAACAATTTTTGCTTTTCAGTCTTTATGAAGATAGCATTTCCTTCTCACTTTTTGATTAGTCATTTTACATGCATAAATAAAACAGTATCAAAATGAAAATTTTTTTGTACTATTAGGAAGCATGTACAGTATTCTATCAAGGTCATCTTTTTTTAATGTCTTAGAAAAAATATACCCTTACATGACTCTCTTGTTTCATGAGATTCAGTTTATCTAAAGCATGAGTCTCAGCCCTCTAGTTCAATAGTCAGATATTTTTTGGCTAATAGAACATTAAGAAAAATTTTATTCTTGAAGTTTGCAGCCTTTAAGTAGAAACACACTATCAGTTTCCTTTACTATCTGCTGTGAAAACATTACCTTCCTTACGATGTTTCTTATTTGACTACTTTTGTTAACCCACAGTTGTATTTGTTTAATTATAAACATTTATAATAATTATGTTTCTGTAACACAAAACTTATTCTAAAGATTGTGACTTATTTTTAAAGAAGGGATTATTGTTTAACATTTTTCCATCTCCTTCCACCATAAGTTGTAAGGAGTACCGAAATGCCTTAGAAGAACTGTCTAAAGCAGCTCTGTGGAACTGTGCTGAAGAAGGCCTTCCAACCAATAGGTGACTCGTGGATAAAATCTGTTTTCTGTGTCCTTGTTCTTCTGTTTTTTTGTAGCGTATTATTGATATAAAAGTTTCAGCCCCCAGTGGAGACAACAGATTGAAGTATAGCAAGCAAGCTTAAATAGCCCTTTGGATATAACTTTCTGCCAGTTGCTGTAAAATTCAGTGTATGCTAGAGATTTATACTTTCAACAGTTTTGAAAATTAAAACAAGTATTTACTTAAAATTAGTAACTTGTGAAATTAGTACACTACTGTTTGGTTTTATAATTTTAGGAGTTTGTGAATTTTCTGTCCTAATAATTAAAATATCCAAACCAGCTTTTTAGTGTGTTTAGATAGAAATTACCACAGACTCCTTATTACTGAGATAGCAGTTTTAGTTTTACTAATCTGGAAAAATTTTGAGCTGAGTTACATTGTTACTAAAATTAGAAAACTGAAATTGGTGTTTTCTGTAATTGTTTGACTTCTAGGTAGGTACTGACCTAGCTCATAGACTTGGGGAAAATTTTATTAAACTCTGTGGTTTTGTATTTCCCCTAAAGTTTTATTATTATATTTTGCTTTAAGTCCAGTGGATAGTTCGTGACTTTCTTCCATGCTGTAACCTGTGTTTACGTTAATCATGAATCAGATTTCTGGTGTCGTGGGTAGGAGTAGATGGGGGAGCAGAGTGGTAAGGGTAGGAATCAGAACACTCGTTATATTCTATCTAACAGTGTAAAATCAATTCTTCTTTTGTTTTCCTTTTTAGTGCTTTAGACAACAGGCCTAAGAGTAGCAGCCCTATTAGACTGCCTGAAGTCAGCGGAGGGCAAGCCAGCCGAGCCGCGGACTCAGAGCCGCAGCCAGGTGAGAGTGTTCCGCAGGAGTATCAGTAGTGGTTCTCTTTGTAATGATGAAGAAAATACAGCAAGATAGGCTACGAGTATCCATTTGAAAAATACCTCAAATCCTTGAAAAAAAACGCAAATATTTGAATGTCTGTTAAATGTGATACATTAGTCATCTGATAAGGGTTTACTGTGTCTGGTGTGTGAAACAGAATACGGATTTAAATAGACTTGAGTATTGTCTTTCAGAAATGTTTGCTATGTTTCTTTATTATCTTAAATTTAAATTCAGATTACTGAATCTGAAACTTTTAGAAATTTTTTGCTGTATGTAAAAAGAGCCTCCCTAGAGCTTTCAGTTTTAATAGAAATTTACATTTTTTGTTTTAGTCATACAGTATTATTGGCACTATGAAAAATTTATGTTATGTGTTGTAGTTTTATATTGTATTTAATCCCTACAATAACCAGACAAAGGTTATTTGATATATCCTTATTTTTAGGAAGGATGTTAAAAAGACTGAGTAAGTAACTTGGTCAACACTAGAGTGTGGTGGAGCTGGATTAGAACTTGGGATTTGTTGACATGGTCAGTTAGGAATCCCTTGTGCTACAGGTGATCGCCACGGGTTAAACAAATGTCAGTTTGCGTTCTCTGAACTGTGCCTGAGATAGGCAGTTGCTGGCACTGGTTGGTTGAGCTGCTAACATTGTTATGACAGTAGAGGGATAGTTTCTTTTTAATAAATTTTTCTTGTAGTTACTAATATTCCCTTTGAATATTTGAGGCAGAAAGAATAATGGTTTGCATTGCAACTGTTCTTTTTTGTTAGGAATATAGAGGCACCCAGCCCTTCAGTCTCACTGATGAGAAATGGTCTCATGGCTACTCTTAACTGCTGATTAAGGGCAGGCAGCACTGTCCTGGTTGACTTAGACAGGTGACTCATTGTCTAGGATTCTACACATAGGTACCTCTATTAGCAGGCAACCAGGTAAAAATTAATATTAAGGTGGCTGTAATAATGCCTGTTAATTCAAGTATGTGGTTTTATCACTAACATTTTTTAATAGATTTTACAAATTATACTATTAGACTCAGACATGCTGTTGGTATGCTGAATGAAACTCAAAACTAGGAATAACAGTAGAAAGTAAGCGTTAGTAAATTCTTGGCAGTACTGTGGGGTGTTTAGTTTTTGAAAGATGCTAATAACAAAGTCTTCTGTTTTCCTGTGTTTTTATGTAGGAGCTGAAGCCCAGCTGAATTCTGTAGCTTGTGAAATTGCTTTATATTATTTAATTAGCTACATTATAATAATAAACTCAGCTATAATTTAATCTTTTGCTTAAGATATTAAGGCTGCTTTTGAAAGATTTTTTTGAAATACTTTCTGTAGAATTTCTCACATTTTGACATTCAACTAGCTGAGCATTGTTTTCCTCCTAGTGTATTGCTGATAATACACTAGCTACTCACTTAGCTACTCAAAAACATTGACAGCATGTGGAATAATACAGTGGTGCCTTGGTTCACAAACTGAATTTATTCCCCAGTTTTGAAAAAGATGGCTACATTTGTGTTTGTATGGGAAAGATGGCCACGGTTGTGTTTGTCACCCGAAACAGAGTTTTGCAGACAAAAACGAGATTTTGCCAAATGTTTTTGTTTGCAAACTGAATTGTGAACCAAGGTAGTCTGTGTGAGTGGAAGCATCCGTGTTTCACAGAAGCCTCATGTAATGGTCACTATTCATAAAAAATACGTTGAATATCCTTATTTTCTACTTGCAGTGACGTGTAATTAAAATTTGTTGCCTTTTATTTTTAGCCAAAAAAGCTTCTGGAGTGTTGTCCTTCTTCAGAGGGACAGCAGGGAAAAGCCCTGACCTCTCTTCCCAGAAGAGAGAGACCTTACGTGGAGCAGATAGTGCCTACTACCAGGTTGGGCAGACGGGTAAGGAGGGAACAGAGAGTCAAGGTATTGAACCTCAAGGTATGTTCAACAGACCAAATTTGCTTTCATTAATTAATTAACTTTAGTTTCTTATAGCCGAAGTAGATAATTCCTACTAGTGAAACCAGGGCATTCCTTCTCCCTGGCATTTGGAAATTCCACTTTTTGTGGCTATCATTTCCTGTGTGGTAGAATCAGAAATCCTCAGTTTACAGTTTGTTTTTTGGCGGCGGGGGGGGGGGGAGGTACCAGGGATCAAACCCACAATCTTGTGCTTGCCAGGAAGACACTTATGCTGTTGAGCTAAATCCCTGGCCCTGGTCTCCAGTTTTGTAAAAGGGTAAAACCAGTGTAAGTCACATACATAAAACATCTGCCCCACTTTCGAGCTCCTGGCAGCCGCTAAGATGTTTTCATTCTGTTACGTTTGCATCCCAGATATTTGCTTTCTTCGCCACTACCTATAAGATTGTGACTATTTTTGATATTTTGATATATTGATTTTGTTATCGATATTTTTGATATTTTGATAAGATTGTAGCTTACATTTTGATATTTTATTTTTTTTTATTTTTTTTATTATTTTTTTTTTTTTTGTCTTTTTCCTTTTTATCGGTACCGGGGATCGAACTCATGACTGCCTGCTTATAAGGCAGGCGCTTATGCCGCTGAGCTAAATCCCCAGCCCCACATTTTGATATTTTAGAAGGATGTCTACCTGATTGTGTTTGGGTATGAGTTTCGACAGGCATATGGCAGACTGTGCTGACCTGTCTTTGTAAGTAGGGTTTGGTTGCCACACAGGAACACCCATTCATTCTCCCTGGTCTTGCTGCTTTTATGTTATGTGAGTAAGATGAGGAGTTGTAACTCTTTGGCGCTTTATTGAAATTGTTCAGTGACCCCAGCTTAAGCCATGAGTTAGTAGTTTAAAAAAATAGCATCTCCTAGAATAAAGTATGATTAGTAATTAAGATAGCTTTAGTATACTGTAGGCTGCCTTTGGGCTTTATATGTTCACAGTTTGTTCTTGAAAATCTTTGATGCTTAAAAAATATTTTGAAATGTGAAATTCACACACACACGCCTCTGAGCTGTGCAGGAGCTAGTGCTGCCTGCATTAATCCCAGCATTCTGGAATGTTCGAGGCAGAAGGATCACAAGTTTGAGCTCAGCCTGAGCAACTTAGTGAGTTGGCAGAGACTCTGTCTCAAGATGGAAAACACGAAAGGTCTGGAGAGGTAGCTCGGTGCGAAGATCCCCCTAAATTAATTTGCCAGTGTGACAAAAAGGATGACAGAAAATCAAAAACCCAAAAGCAGCTCTCTAAGTTAGATTCTCTGCATGTGGAGGCATGTTGTACATGTGGGGAAAGTAGTCATAAGCTGTGTTAAAGAAGTCATGGAAATTCTTAAGTGTAAGAACTGTTGGCTGTCACAGTTACTTAAATGGTAAATGTAAGAAAACCTAAAAATTGATATTTCAAGGAATAACACTTTTCTATTATAATTCTTTACAGTTTAATCATCTAATGCCAGCTTAATGATGACTTTACTGGCATTTCTTGCTGTTTTTTAGTACTGAGGATTGAACCCAGGAATCTAGGACTTTATACTGAGCTACAGTCCTTGTGGTCCTTGCCCCTCACGCCTTTTTTTGAGATAGGGCCTGCTGTTTAGTCCTGGCTGGCCTTGAGCTCAACTCATGGTAATTCTTCTGCCCCAGCCTCCCGAGTGCTGGCATTACAAACATGGACCTTAATGCCCTGCACATTACTAGGATATTTTGTTACTCATTTACTAGTTTGGTTGTTACGTGAGGGGAAAAAACATAAATTGATAATTATTTAAAACTTTGCCTTTACTAATGATATTAAACCTTTTAGATGAAGTAGATGGAGGAGATTCACAAAAGAAACAGTTTGCAAATCCTCATGTGGAACTTCGTAAGTATGAAATAATGTATTATCTGTTTAGGGATAGGAGCAATAAATGAACAAACTGTCATTAAAACTTCTAGCTTCATACTAGAAAATATTCTGTTTGTTGAAATGAGTATTAAATCTTTGCTGACATAGGCTTTATTTAGTCTATAATTCAGTTTGTGAAATACATTTTTGATTTATAAAGAAATTTACTTTGTTTTATAAATTTAATTAAAATTATAATTTAACTTATAAATTTATAAATTACCTTTTTAATTAATTTTTAATTTTTAAATCTTGTTTAATTGAGAATCATGGGGCTTAACAAGAATGTATAATTGTATACAAAGGTGCCAGAAATTTGTTGCCTGGAATATTATGGATGGTAAATCTTAAAAGATATTTATTAAGGTGCTTGTTTTGGGAGCACATGTACTAAAGTAGCATAATACAGAGATGATATGGAATGTAATGTCCCTTGCACAAGAATGACACACAAATTTGTGAACATTCCATACTTTTCAAGACGAGAAACAGCTCAGTTGCCAGACCTAGTGCAAATTAGCAAACTCAGAAGCTTACTTTTGAGCTAAGGAGAAGTGTGACAGTTCTGTCTACCTTCTGGTCCTTCTTGGGAGAAAGGCACTTATTAAGATGGTGTGTGGGGTCTGCTATTTATCTCTGCCATTAAATGGTTCACGAATTTTTCTTTTTATTACTTTAGAGCAAGTTGATAGATATCTTGAGTATGTTTATCCCAAGAGAACATATGTGTAATAAAAGTCATCATAGAAGGAATAAAAGGTGTTTAATACAATGACAATAAAATGTGATGCTGAATATATAACCAGTGGAATATTAGAACTGGGTCTTGTTTCACGGTCAGTGTTTTTGGAAAACGTGAAAGAGGCTCACGCAGTGTTCTGTCATCGCTCTATGAGGAAGCAGCACAGTGTTTAGACCTAACACGAAAGTGCTAAGGCAGAGCAGCCTGAACGGTTGCACTGGGAGTGGAGGGAGGAGGAAAAGTTATTTCGTAATTTGTAGAAGCCTTTTAAATTTAAACTTCTGTTTATAGAATTTTCTGACGCTAACGCCAAGTTTTACTGCCGGCTCTACTACGCGGGAGAGTTTCATAAGATGCGCGAGGCGATTCTGGGCAGCAGCGAGGAGGATTTTATCCGCTCGCTCTCGCATTCGTCACCCTGGCAGGCCCGCGGAGGCAAGTCGGGAGCCGCCTTCTACGCCACGGAAGGTAGGGCTCTCCCTGCGCTGATCCCCGGGAGCATGTGTGCCTCCCGAACTGAGGTGCGTGTCGGCACCTTTCAGAAAACCAAGTTTTCTGATCTTTTAATTTTAGTTTTAACTTTCTATAGAAAGACATAAAGCAAAGTTTCATAACAAAATAATTGATTAACAAGGACTAATACATTGTATATAATTTTTAAAGTAGTTAAGAGTAAAAAATATGAGCATTAAAAATTCTCCAATTAATATTAGCACACTTTCCTTTTCAGTGAACTGAGACACTAGTAGTGTAGCTAACTTGCATAATTTCTCCCTTTTCCCTGCCTTCCTTTGACCTTTTCTCCTATCCTAGTTCTTTTGAACAGTTTCTTTCCATGTCACAGTATCTCTTGTATATTTTAGACTTCATTTAAACTTTCAGTTTCTCATACCAGGGAAACAATCCAATGTTTACACATGTGAGTCTGATTTATTTCACCTAGGAATATGGTCTCAGGTTGCATCCGTTTACGTATAAAAGTCTCAGGTTTATCCTTTTTTGTGGCTGAGAAGTATTTCATTGTATAAAAAGATCGCATCTTTTATTTTAATTCATTTTTGGGTTAATGAACCTTTGGGTTATTACAAATTGTGCTGCCTTAAACATAGGTGCACATAGGTGGTATGATGTTTTTAATTCTTCTGGGAAGATACCCAGAAGGAGAATAGCTGGAACAAATGGAACCTCCAATCCTAGCTTTTTGAGGAATCTGCGCTCTGAGTTCCACAGCGGTGGTATCAGTCTATACTGACCCCAACCATGGAGAAGGGTCTTTCAATTTTGGGGCCTGATTTTTTTCAGTTCTTTGTATGTTCTAGATAGAAGTCCTTTGAGGGAGAGTTGGCTAAAATGTTTCCCACTCTGTAGGTTGTCTTTTTGCTCTATTAGTTATTTCTTTTTAATGATGTGAGATCCCAGTTGTTGATTCTTTGAAGTATTTCCCATGCAGTTTGTGTTTTGTTCATGAGCTCTCTGCCTACCACGTCTTCAAGATTCGTACTTACTTTCTCTTCCAATAGATTTAGGGTTTTTCTGTTTTAATATGTAGATACTTGATTCATTTTGACTTTAGTTTAATGCATGGTGATAAATATGGGTCTAGTTTTAGTTTTTGACATGTAGAAAACCAGTTTTTAAAATTTTTACTTTGTGTTTCTTTTTGTTTTATTTTATTTTATTTATTTATTTTTTAACTTTTTGTCGCTACCAGGGATCGAACTCACGACCGCCTGCTTGCAAGGCAGGTGCTTATGCCGCTGAGCTAAATCCCCAGCCCCTCTTTTTGTTTTAAAGATAGTAAAATCCAACAAAACAAAATAGAACAAAGCCAATCAAAACATGCAGCAAAACTGGTACAGAACTTCAAAGCAGGATGCTAGGAAAACACAAGAGTTACCATAGTGTGTCTTATCGTCACAGTAGTTGTCCATTCTATCAGACATAGCAAAATCAAACCAAAAACAGAATAAAACCAATCAAAACAGGATATTGAGTAAAGTCAAATAATCAGAACAAAGCAAACAATGAGAACAATATTGGATTTTAAAGACAAGATAGGAAATCCCCCATATTTGCTACATTGCATACTTCTGAGAAAGCCAGTTTTCCCAGCACCGTTTATTAAAGAGGCTCTTTTTTTCCAGTGAACATATTGGGCCCCTTTGTCAAAAAAATTTTTCTGAAACAAGATCTCACCATGTAGTTCAGACTGGCCTTGAACTTGCTTTGTAACCCAGGCCTTGAGCTTGCAGTGATCCTCCTGCCCTCAGCCCCCCAAGTGCTGGGAGTGCAGGTATATATGCCACACCGTGCCCAACTTTTGAATTTTTATTTTTTTATCTTGAGAGAATGGAATAAGGCATTCAAAAAAAATATATGTATGTATGTATGTGTTTATAATGAGACTCAGTTCATTAAACTATCTAGTTCTGAGTTCTCTAAATGTAAAGAGAAAACTTTTACAAAACTTGAAAGGATACCTTAGTTGCTAGTGAGAGAAAGTTAGAAATAGTTAATCTGAAAATAGAAGACCGAGTTCTTAACCTTACAAAAACTTACAGAATATTGTGAACATTTTATATGTCATATTTTATTCTCCCACTGGAAGCAGAATGACTTAAGAAAATGCACCAGGAGATCTGTTCTGTTGCTCAGTAAGAACTGTTGTGACCGTGACTTAGTGGATAGTTAACAAAGGAGTTTATAAAATTTTATTTGGCAGTTTCAAAGGTGTTCGTGGACCAGTGAATCTAGATGTACTGGGGGAAGCAGAGGGCTTCTCGGGGTCCTTCCTAGCCCTTCAGTTGTGTGAGAATTGGGTTCTGATGAGAATTTTCACTGTGACATTAGAAAATATCTGTTAAAACTATAACACAAGGAAATATCTGTGACTTATTACAGATGATAGTATGTTTTATGATTGAATAAACACATGAAATTTCTGCCTTTTAGATGATAGATTCATTTTGAAGCAGATGCCTCGTCTGGAAGTCCAGTCTTTCCTTGACTTTGCACCACACTACTTCAGTTACATTACAAACGCTGTTCAACAAAAGGTAGAAACCCTGAATCTTGATGTATAATTAGAGTTTACTAGAGTCTCTCGTATCCCAGGGCTTAGTTCAAATGGCAGTTTTCCCTGTGGCAAGATGTGAACTGAACCTGACTTGGTGTCTGTTATACTGTTGAGATCTGAGATATCAAACGCTTGTTTTTCCAACCTTTTCCAGTAGAAATTCGTGAACAAGTTTGGCTTTTTTTTTTGTACCAGGAATCAAACTCTTGAACCTTGCCACCTGCCAGGCAGGCGCTGTGCCATTGAACTACATCCCCAGTCCCGTTGCATTTAATGTATGATGAAAATCAATTAGATGATGAAAATCAATTTTAAATACTAAAACTGGATAAAATTAGCTGCACATTTAGTGAGTTCTAACTTTGCTCAGATTAACAGTTTTAACTTTGCTCAGAAATTGGAAACATTAAGAAGTGGGATGCCACCTTTAGCTAGAAACAGAGGGATACCAGTGGTCCACATTTGCTGAACTACTGAAGAACGACCCCCACTACGCAAGATTATGAAGGAGTTCGATTTTTTAAAGCTATGGTTTTTTTTTAAATGTTATTAGAGGAAATTATATGTCAAAATAGAAGTTTTTAAATTTATAAACTGTGAAGGATTGTCCCTGTGGAGAATCCTAAGGATCTAATCAGTATTTTTGTTGGCATTGCTACTGTACTTCTGAAATTCAAGGGTTTGAATTTCTTTCAAGATCTCTGGCTGGTTATATCAGTAGTAAATCATGTTTTGTTATTACATAGATAATCCATTAACAAAATTGATATCAAATTATGAATAATCCCTTTTCATAAGAGTTTACTTTGATTTTTTTCTGGATAGAGGCCCACTGCCTTGGCCAAAATTCTTGGAGTTTACAGAATTGGTTATAAGAACTCGCAGAACAACACCGAGAAGAAATTAGACCTCCTTGTCATGGAAAATCTCTTCTATGGCAGAAAAATGGCGCAGGTAAGCATGTTGGACTGAGAGAAGCATTCATTTCTTGGGACCCTTTGTACTAGTTTTTGGAGGTAATGAATCTGAGTTTTATTTTACTATATATTTAATATTTAATTCTGTCTACTGGGTGAGATTTAATTTTTGACTTACTGAAGAATGAGTAAAGATAAATTATTGTTATGGGCAAGTCCTAAAATTTAATATATCCATTACTTTAGAATCACATAATTGATAAAATAAGAGGACAGTTCTGCTTCCACTGCCTCAATTTTAAAAGTAAGTTAACTGAGATTCAGAGAGATGACATCCTTTATCAGAGTCCCACAGTTACTTCAGGTTCCAGGGTGGTCTCAGTTATTCCAGAGCAGTGCTCTTCCCAGCAGTGTACCAGTCACACAGTCGATTTTGATTCTAGGGTGCTGTAGGTTATTCTTGAGCTGTAATCTTCGTGGTGCTGACCCTCGAGCTGCTCCCACCTGGTGCAGAGTTGCGGAGGCTGTGCCTCTCTAGCGCAGTGCAGTTCCATTTCTGAGACCGTCTTTGTACGAGGAAAGCATTAGCTGTACTACACCATGTGCTTAATGGTCACACTGACACTGGCTCCTCACCGTCATCGTGATCTGGGATGGGGCCGGCCCGGTCTGCAGATTCCACGCAGGCCTCGGGCTGCTGCTTCTGCTCAAGTTCTGTGGCCTCTGAATTCTGTTAAATATTCCTAAAGTTAAGCTGTTCATTCTACACTACCGTAAATATAAATAATTGAACAGTTTTGGTATCAAAACTTTTAAGTTTTTAAGACTGTGTGTTTTCTTTATGCTGCTCTATGATCTAATGATAAATTTTTCTAGTTCCTTATTAATGTATTTTAAAATTGATTAACTTGACCAGAGTATTCCTGAAATGTTGTAGTTATTGAATATCTTGCTGTTAATTTCGTATGGTACACTTATATTGCCACACATTTAATGACTTCTTATAAAATTTATGATATGATAATAGTGACTGTAAGATGTCTTTTTACCTGTTTAATTACATTGATTAACTAGTGTGCCAACTCATATACAAGTAACAGAATTTTCTTCCACTAGGTTTTTGATTTGAAGGGCTCACTTAGGAATCGAAATGTGAAAACTGACACGGGGAAAGAGAGTTGTGATGTAGTCCTGCTGGATGAGAATCTTCTAAAGATGGTTCGAGACAATCCCTTGTACATTCGTTCGCATTCCAAGGCTGTGTTGAGGACCGCCATCCATAGTGACTCTCATTTCCTTTCTAGCCACCTCATTATCGATTATTCTTTGCTGGTTGGGCGAGATGATACTAGCAATGAGCTAGTAGTTGGCATTATAGGTAAGTTAATAGGTGTACCCTACTTATAGTTCATAATTAAAGCTGGAGTAAAATCTTTATAATTCTGTTGAAGCTGACATTGAATATTTTCACAAACTTTAATTGGAAATTTCAATAATAGTTTTCTATTCTATTTCTATTTTCATTATCTTTGCCCAAAATATATACAGTGGAGTGGTACCTGAGGTCACAAACCAGATTAGATGAGAACCAAATCAAATTTGGTGGTTAGGTTCATTGTTGACATTACTTAGAAATTTGATTCTGTGCTTATTCAATTCGGGATGTGACCAGAATTATGGAAAGAATTAAGTGCATGGGTCAAGGTACCAGTGTCATTTTGCAAAGTCATCTACAAATGAGAGCCTCTACTATTGTTTTGAGGAGTAAACAAATTAATGGGGGCAAAATTCTCACAATAGTACCTGGCAATGTCAGTCAGCACCGAACAAAAAACAGAAATAGTACTAATCATTGCTGTCGTCATTTGCCTATATTTATTAACAGAGCTGTACTCTAACTATGCCTACCTCTTTCTACCCCCAGATTATATTCGAACATTTACGTGGGACAAAAAGCTTGAAATGGTTGTGAAATCAACAGGAATTTTGGGAGGACAAGGTGAGCAGAATTTTTATTTTGTGTAGTTTTTACACTATTCTCATAACCCCTTATCAATTAAAATTTAAGAAGTAAATACTTTTTTAATTCTATTTGTCCCCTACAAAGAAGACAGAATTTTGAAACATCAAATACACTAAAAAGCATGGTAAACTAGGGAAACATAGAACATAGCAGGATTCCCAATTACCCAGAACTACGAAATAATAAGGGGAATTGTGTACGTAGGGAAATCTATGGTTTAGATTCGTTAGAATGCCAGTTCCCAAAGTAAGAAGTTAGAAGAAAGAAATCACAGGCTCTGAAGGCTGTTAATAGATTAATACTTGTTGCCTTCTAGGTTGTCTAATAAGTACTGCTCCCTTCAGTTGTGCCTTTAACATCTCTTATCTCTAGGTAGCAGCTCAACTTTTGAAATAACAGTTGATACCGGGGTAGATCTGTCCAGGGCAGGTGGCGCAGCAGATTACCCCCACCCTTAGACTGCTGTGGTGTGTGTGTCTTTATGTGGTTTGTATGAAGAAACATATTATGTGTATAACAGCTATCCCCCTTTTCTTTTTTACAATTTTAGGTAAAATGCCAACGGTGGTCTCTCCAGAGTTGTATAGGACTAGATTTTGTGAAGCAATGGACAAATATTTCCTTATGGTACCAGACCACTGGACAGGACTGGATCTGAACTGCTGAGATCGAGCATAGATTTTGAAATGGACTGTGAAGGAAAGTGGGCACAAACAAGAGACCAAAAATAAGAGATGTGTTTTATTTCTTCTTGACATTCACCACTATGTGGAAGAGACCTTTCAGTTCTGTGGTTCTTTAAAGACTGACTGTAACTGAAGCGTGAAAGCTTCCATGGATTTGCACTTCCGTTTTAGATACCTGTGAGTTAGCTATCTGTAGGTTGGAGAGTTGCATGAACAGTTTTTCAATTAGTCTAAAAGTATCGATCCACTTCAAAGGGTAAAGGTTAGAGTTGAATAGACATGTGATATCACATGTGATATCAGTTTACGTGTTTGGTGAAGAAAACTAAACATATCTCATAGATCGTGACTATGCTGGCTTCACGTTTGAGACATTGTTTTTACTTAAAGCATTTGGGAGCTGTTAAATATGTGGTTCAAAGTATCTAATAATTTAATGTTACCTGTTGTCAGGATTTCTGAAACTTTTAGAAACATTCTGATTTATTCCATTATTGGCTCAACAGGTTGGCATTTACTGTTTTATTGAATTTTTTTTAACTTAAATTGGGAATCCTGCTATGTTCTATGTTTCCCTAGTTTACCATGCTTTTTAGTATATTTGATGTTTCAAAATTCTGTCTTCTTTGTAGGGGTCAAGAAGCTGGATCTAGGGCTGGGGATTTAGCTCAGCGGCATAAGTGCCTGCCTTGCAAGCAGGCAGTCGTGAGTTCGATCCCCGGTACCGATAAAAAGGAAAAAGACCAAAAAAAAAAAAAAAAAAAAAAAGAAGCTGGATCTGTTAACTTTGATTCCCTTCCCTTTTTGTAGTATTTTAAAGCTTGTTTAAAGTGCTTACATTTTTGCATACACTTATATTCTAGATTTCCCCCTCCTTTTCAGCAAAACATAGTAAATGGCTCATTAGTAATTAATTCTACAATCACTGATACCCTAAAGGAAGAATTATTAATAAAGAATTGTTACAAAAAATAAGACTGAACCCAAGGGATTGTGTGAGAAGGAAGCACTTGATTAGTTTTTATAAGGGTAAAGTATCTTTCAGTAGAACCAATTGACGTGCATTTATTTCCAGTATGGGAAGTCCTGTTTCCTGGTTTCTGCGCACAGACCCGTTCTGCTGCTGCGGCTGCTGAGAGAGACGCTCCTAGTAAGGAGCCTCTTGTTTAATTGGCGGCAGTTGTGCTTGCTGCAGAATGTGCTTGGGAAGAGGTGATGAATTTGAGGGAATATTACTGTGGTCTCACAATATTTCTCTTGGGTTCTCTCTGTAACAGGACTGACCTTGGGGATTCACAGTTTTAAGGATTTTACTCTTTTTCAGGCTTCCAATAATAGCATGTTAATTGTCACTTAAAAATAATTGATGCTTTTAGTTATACAGCATAATCAGTATGTGACACATTTTAGAAAGTTTACTTGAAAGAATGAAGGCAGTGCTTTGGCGTTTGTTGCTTATTAAAAACCTGGTTCATTTGAACTAATGCAAAATTGACCAAGTTAAGATAGATGAGCAGATAAATCTGCTCATCACCCTCACCCCTTAGGTGCCTTTTGAAGATACACGGAAGGCTAACTTTAGTTTTGATGTCCAGACTGGAGGTGAAAGATGGGCAGAACATGATAAACTTTTTACATGCCTGGGAACAATGGCTTTCGTGTCTGTAGTGTAATGCCAACACTGTTTTTTGTCTCTTAATTATTTTTTCTGACTGGCTGTTTAGGGTCACTGAACCTGTTCATTTCCTGTGGAAGTAGAAAGTGTCCCCCTACCCACAGCTATAATCAGGTGGTTTCTTTTTAGTTTCAGTATTGCATGCATAATTGGAAAGCTTCATGGGAATAGTTCTGACAATAATATGGTTTGTTGATTTCTCTTTCCCCTGCCCATGAAAAACAATTTTTAGAGCCTGCAGCCTGTTTTATAATTTTGTTACTAAGCATTCTGAAACAAGAGTTGCTGCTTTGCAGGGGGTGATCTATCCTTTTAAAATTAATGTCTGGGCTGAATTAATGAAGAAAAAATGTAAGATTTCACTGGTACTGTTGTTTAGGCCACTACTTATGCATAAGGTGTTTCAAATACCATGCCACACAATTTAAGAATTGAATGACAATTTTCTTCTCTTGAATTCCCTTTCAATACCTAGAGAATATTAATGCCAATAAGTTAGGAATGAGGATGAAAACTTAATACTTCTTTCTGTAGAATACAATGTGAATTCTGAAAATAATAGTAGCACGAGAAAACTGTCAATGTGTTGCTTTGTATAAAAATCTTATTTGTAAATGTGAAACTTTTTGATGCCATCAAACCTTGTTTAAAAAATAGAATGTACTTTTTTCTTATCTCAGCCTAAGAAAAATAAGGAAAATAAGCTGTTGTAAGCTCTTTTGTAGCCTTACTACTTTAAATTTATAGATACTCAAAATTTCCTACAGAATGTCTTTATAATTTTTTTTTTTTTTGATTCAGCAGTGAGTGGTTTTCTAGCCTTAGGCTTTTCCTGGATATTGTAAATTGTAGGGTCATATTGGCATCAGCTTTTGTGATGGCTTTGTGGCCATCAGTTTTTGCATTTTACCCATTAGCAGTGGGCTTTTGTAAAATCGCCAAGGAAGGTCGTCTACGTGTGGAAAGTTGACTTCGCTTGATGGGTGGAAACTATTACGAATGAGCCTGATGGTGAGACATTAGGCCATTCATTATTCCTTAAGTGTTAACACTGACTTATGCAGTATTCAGAACATGTCGTGCAATGCCTTTGTTTTGTTTTTGTTTTTGTTTTTGTAACACGGGTGCAGTGTATTATAGAAAATTAAAAACTACAATCAGGAGCAGTTTTAGTAACACTGCTTGCAGTTTTGTAAAATGATGTACATTATGTCTTTTGGCAGGTTGAATTTTAAACTAGAGAAATAACATTGTAAATCATAATAGTCTTTTAATTTAATACGAAAAGTTCAATTAACAGTATTGAAAGTACTGTATAATAATGTATATATTTCTCTACTTTGGTTCCAGCTGTTTTATATACTTGACCTATTATTTAAAAAATAACTACCTTGACCTTTTAGAGACTTGTACTATAAATAAAGAAGACTCACAATAAACTAGAATTTATGTGCTCTTATTTTTTTAAGAGTGGGAAGGGTTTATTGGGGAATAAGGATAGCTCCTGAGAGATGGGAGGAGTCCCACGTGGGTTGCTACAAGGTCATTTTTCCACGAACGTTTTACAGCGTAAGTTTTAGTCATGAGATGGGTACAAAGTGGGTCATTTGGGTACATTCAGTGGGGACATTTGTTGTTGGCTCCATCTGTATGATCCCTTGGAGTTCGGCAGCTTCTGCAATCAAGATTACAAGTGCAGCTCTTAGCTAGTACTGATTTAGTAGGGAAGCAGGCACATAGCAAGCATGTGTGGCTGACACCGTTAACCTTGGCTTTTCTGTGATTTCTAAAACTGGAATGTTTTGGGGGAAGGGATGGGTCCTGGTGTTCTGGTCACCCGTGGAAGTGACTGATGCATGTCTCGATTTAGTGAATTTAGTATAATGTCAAAGTTTTATTTATCTCTTAGCAAAGTATGCAAGTCTGGCCGTTGTGACTTTAATCTCTTGGACTTGCCTTCATAGGTGCCTGCAGTCGCAGTTTTGGTGTGTTTTCATACTGGCTTCCTCGAGGGCCCGTCCCTGTCTGACTGTAAATTTTGACCTGACTTAGCTCCTTGTAATGTTCCCCTCTGCAGAGCTATCCCTGACTGCTAATAGGGGAGAATGGGTGAAACTCCAGCTTTGCTGCCCTGAGCTGAGAAGGGTCAGGTGAGGGAAGACAAGGTCAAGGGCCTTCTCCAGAGATGATGGGCCTTCTCCAGAGATGATGGGCCTTCGGTAGAAGTCGTGTCATTTAGCAGTTACAAACTCACTTCACAGGTTCAGGCTAGTGGATCCTGCCACATTTGTTGCTGGTTCCATTTCCATGATCCCTTGGAGTTTGGCAGCCTTTTCTTCTGAAGATCACGATGCAGCTTTCAAAATGATACAGGAGAAATGTAACATCCAGCCTGCTGGATGTCAGGTGTGCCGAGTTGGTGTCCTCTGCGAATTCCAAGGGGTAGAGGAGGTTCACAGTAGGACAGGTTCATGGGAGGGAACAAGCATCACTTCTGAGAGACAAGCACTGTCTGAAGGATTACCCTTTGCTTAGTTTTGAATCTCCTTGGGGAAGTTAACAGAAGGAGAGGAACTTTGATGTATCAGCCGAGTCTCTCACATGTTGGTGTTGACTTTTGTTCATTTTCTTCCTCTTCCTTTTCTAGCTGAAGAATTCAAGTTTATCACTGAAACCTGCATTCGTTTTGGCCCATAATAGGCATGGCTGTCTGATCTTCCCACCCATCCTTCCTGGGCCTTACCTTTCTTGATGGCATGCTCAGGGGAGTCAAGCCCTTGGTAAGCAAGATGGACAGAATTTGTGGGTGTCCTGTCAGCCAGCACTTTCTCCTACTCGTTTAGAGGCAAAGCTGCTGCTGCCTAAAGCTGGACGCATCTCCCTGCTACTCACAGCTGCAGCTCTGAGCCTGCCTTCTGCCTGCATCGATGGGGACAAGGTGAGAGCAGCTGAGCTGAGCCGCTGGCTCTGAGTGTGCCTGGGGTGGCTGAGGTGGTGGTACGCCCATGCTGGGGGAGAGAGAGGTTACAGACGCCCAAGCCTCTGCTCGTCTCTTGCAGGGTAAAGAAGCGGACAGTAGAGGAGAGGCCTGGCAAGCTCTCCAGTCCCCACTGACCCACAGGTCTCTTGTTACCTTGGAAGTTACCTTGTAAAATCTGCCGGTTAATGTTTGCGGGAACCAGGGTGTGTGTTTGGTTTGGTTTGGCTTTATTTTTAAATGCAACTTTATTGTGGTAAAAATTATAACCCTCTTAAATTATTTTTAAGTGTATAATCTAATAGTCTTACTTATATTCGCATTGTTGTAAAATAGATCTCCAGGACTTTTTCACAAGAAGACAACTCTTCCTTTACTCCCAAATCTCAGGTAACCACCATTGTATTTGTTTTTATGAACTGAACTGATTAAGATACTTCAAATAAGAGGCATCATGTGATACCTACCTTTTTGTGACTGATTGCGCTTAGCATAATTCTTCAGAGTTTATCTGTGTTGCAATATATGATACAGTTTTATTTTAAGCTGAATGATATTACATATATATATATGTATCATATTTTATGTATCCTTTCATCCTTCCACAGATGTTTGTATGATGGTTAAAATTTTTTTTTTTTTTGTATCAGGAATTGAACTCAGGATCTTGCGCATGATGGTTAATGTTGTGTCAGCCTGACTGGGCTAAGGGTTGTCAGATGGCTGGTGAAGTACTTCTGGTTATCAGTCGTACACACTGAAGAATACATGCAGTTATATCCTTGAGACCAATTTCTTTTCCTCTCTTTTTTACAATAGCAATTACACATTTCGGGTTTTATTATTCTTACATTTCTTACTACTTTTTATACTAGAGGCAAAATCAATGTGATTTTTAAAATATGATTCTTATTTATTTCACTAATGAGGATAGTCTCAGGCTGTCTCCATTTACCTATGAAGGCCTGAAGATCATCCTTTTTTATAGCTGAGTGATATTCCATTGTATAAAATACCACATCTTTTTCATGCACTCTGTGGTTGATGAGCATTTTGGTTACTTCCAATATTTGGCTATTACAAATTGTGCTGCTATGAACATGGGTACACGTATACCACTGTGATATACTTTTTTCAATTTTTCTGGGAAACTACCCGGGAGGGGAATAGCTGGATTGAATGGAACTTCCAATCCTAGTCTTCTGAGAAATCTGCATACCAATCTCTACAGTGGTTGCACCAGTCTACACTCCCACCAACAGTGGAGCAGTGTTCCTTTTTCCCTGTAGCCTCGCCAACATTTGTTATCAGTTGATTTCTTGATGGCAGCTATTCTTTCTGGAGTGAGATGAAATGTTAATGCTGTTTTAATTTGCATTTCTCGAATGACCAGTGATGGTGAACATTTCTTCATGTATTTATTTGCCATTTGTATATCTTCATCTGGGAACTGTGTGTTCATGTCAGATGCCCATTTCTGGAGAGGATCTTTGAATTTGGGGGGCTTGATGTTTTTCAGTTCCTTATATGTTCTGGATATGAGTCCTTTGTCTGAGGGGTTGCTGGCTAAAATTCTTTCCCATTCGTGGGTTTTCTTTTCACCCTGTTGGTGATTTCTTTTGAAGTGCAGAAATTTTTCAATAATATGAGATCCCAGTTATTGATTCTTTGAAGTGTTTCCCGTGCAGTTTGCATTTTGTTAATGAATTCTCTGCCTACCTTGTCTTCTAGTAGATTTAGTGTTTCTGTTTTAATATTTAGGTCTTTGATCCATTTAGACTTTAGTTTTGTGCCTGGTGATGAGCATGGATCTTGTTTCAGTCTTTGGCATGGGGAAAGCCAGTTTTTTCAATGCCATTTATTAAAGAGACTATCCTTCTTCCAGTGAACATGTTTATCTCCTTTGTCAAATATCAGGTGACTGAGTGTCTTTGTAGTTGTGTTTGCATCTTCTAATCTGTTCCACTGATCCTCAGGTCTATTTCTTTGTCAGTACCATGCTGATTTTATCACTGTGGCTTTGTTGTATAGTTTCAAATCAGGAATTGAGATGCCTCCTGCCTTGCCTTTGTTGTCTGGAATTGCCTTTGCTATTCTAGGTTTCTTCTGTTTGCAAATGAATTTTAGGAGTGTTTTCTCTAGATCTGTGAGGTATGTTAATGGTATTTTGATGGGAATGCATTAAATCTGTATAAGAGGTTTGGAAGTATGGCCATTTTCACAATCTTGGTTCTTCCTAGCCAAGAACAAGGAATATCCTTCCATTTCTAATATCCTCTTCAGTCTGCTTTTTTGTGTAGCATAATTTTCAGCATATAGGTCTTTTACATTTTTACTTAGGTTGATTCCTAAGTATTTCATTTTTTAGATGCTACTGTGAAAGGCAATATTTCCATAATTTCTCTCCTGGTGAGTTTTTTGTTTGTGCACAGGAATGCTATTGATTTTTGAGCATTGAGTTTGTATCCAGCTACACTGCTGAATTTATTTATTACCTCTAGTAGTCTTTTAGTGGAGTTTTTTGGTTCTTCTATATTGTGTATTATGTCATCTGCAAATAGTGATAATTTGACTTCTTCCTTTCCTATCTTTATTCCTTTTATTTCTCTCTCTTGTCTGATTGCCCTGGCTAGTGTTTCCAGAACAATATTGAATAGGAGTGGTGATAGTGGACATCCTTGTCTTGTTCCTGATTTTAAAGTGAAAGCTTTCAGTTTTTGTCCATTTAGTATGATATTGGCTGTTGGTTTGTTGTAGATGGTCTTTAAAAGATTGAGGTAGACACTGTGTATTTCAAATTGCGTTTTTATCATTAACATGTGTTGGACTTTATCGAAAGCTTTTTCTGTGTCTATTGAGATGACCATGTGGTTTTTGTTTTGGCTCGGTTGCTGTGGTGTAGTACATTTATTGATTTGTGTATTCCATCCCTGCATTCCTGGGATGCATCCCTGGGACGAATGTTGTATAACCTTGATGATTTGCTGCATTCTGTTTGCCAGTATTTTATTGAGAATCTTTGCATCAATGTTCATTAGTGAGATTGGCCTGTAGTTTTCCTTTTTGTTTGGGTCTTTCTCTGGTTTTGGTATCAGAGTAATACTTGCCTCCAGGAATGAGTTAGGGAGGATTGCTTCCTTTTCAATTTTATTGAAGAGTTTAAGGAGAATTGACATCAAATCTTCTCCAGATTTCTTGTATAATTCAGCCATGAATCCATCAGGACCTGGGCTTTTCTTTCTTTCTTTCTTTCTTTTTTTTTTTTCTGACCTGTCCTTTTCTTTGTTGGTAAGTTTTTAATTATGTTTTCAATTTCAATAGCTGTATTGGGTTATTGAAAATTGCTATATCTGCTTGGTTGAGCTTTGGTAGTTCATATGTTTCTAGAAATCTGTCCATTTCCTTTGTGTTTCTACTGTATGTGGAAACTCTTTTCAAAGTAGGTATTCATGATCTTTTGAATTTCCA